GGTTGACTTTTGGGAATATTATGAAGCCGCGAGGCGTTTCGCTCCCGAGGGATGCGCTGAGACGACACAGAAGCTGATGCACATGGTGGACAACATCTTGATGCAGAAGGGCAACACGACTGAGGAGGACATTGTGACGCTCAAGACTGCCTTCGGACTCCCGAACGTGACTGCGAGCGTTGACTTTGCGAGCGCGATTGGAGGTGGGATCGCAGGTCTACAGGGCCGAAACTGGGATCCGGCCATTGACAGCGACGGTTTCCTTCTCTACTGTGGCAACATGACCTCTGACGAGCTCGTGTGGCCCGCGACGGACAGCCTTGACTCGAGTGCTCGTTACCTGCTTGAGATTGGCGGCTACGAGTCAGAAGTCACGGAGTTGGTTCCTCGACTCAAGAACTACATTGGTTACGTCAACTATACATCGTCCTGGTGCGATTCGGAGACACAAGATGACTGTTTCGGGCCTGGAAGCGACGACGCATATGCCGCGGATGATCTGAGCGCGTCCTGGCGTCTGTGGGCCTACCAGTATTGTTCGCAGTAAGTGGTCAAACTCATAATCTCTGTGGCGAAATTCTGACATTCTCGTTTAGATGGGGTTACCTCCAGACTGGCTCCGGCGTCCCAGAGGATCAGCTTCCTTTGATCTCGCGCCTGATTGATATTGACTACTCCACAGTCATCTGCCGCAAGGCGTTCAACATCACCTCACTACCCGACGTCGAAGCCATCAACAAGTACGGTGGTTACAACTTCAGCTACCCTCGCGTAGCTATCATTGATGGCGAATCCGACCCGTGGCGATCTGCGACTCCCAACAAGATTGGGCTCCCGCGACCAGAGTCGACCACTGAGGAACCCAACTTGGTCATTACGGGCGGAGCAGTCCATCACTGGGACGAGAACGGCATCTTCAAGAACGAGACAACGGCCGACCTGCCACCATTGCCTGTCAAAGAGGCTCAGAGCTTCGAGGTGGAATTTGTACAAGTTTGGCTGAAGGAGTTTGCAGCGACAAGAAAGTAGACAACATGTCTTATCATAGATGATCCTGTCACTACGAAGGACTGCGAATAGCAATGCACAAAGTATGTACACGAAACAGAGCAAGTCATCACACACTACCTAGGTGCATCAGCGTCATTACATGTACTTCTCAGCATGTTCTGGGTCAAGTATGACCGGTAATGCTGAACAAAATCTCTCATCACTTCTTTGCAGCCTCAATGATGATTTCGGCAGCTTTTTCTGCAATACCATATACCGCGGTTTGAATGTGAGCTGAGATGAGAACGGGCATGATGCTTGCGTCCACGACTCTGAGGTTCTCGGTTCCGTAGACCTTGAGTGACGGGTCGACGACGCCTCCGTCTTCCTTCGGAAGCATTGCGCAGGAGCCCACTGGGTGATAGATGGACAAGGTAGTCTTGAGAGCAAAGTCTCGCCACTGCGCGTCTGTCGTGGTGTTCAAGCCTGGCTCGTACTCCGAAACCCACGTGGATCTGAGAGGCTCTGTCAGAGCAACTTGCCGACATTTCTTGATGGCTTGGATGGCTGCTTGCAAGTCGTACTCGTTGGAAAGGTAGTTTGGATCAATGAGAGGCGGTCCCAAGGGGTTGGTAGGGTTGATATGGACATTTCCACGGCTCAAGGGGTGCATGATGGCAGCGATGAGCGTGAAGTAGTCCTTGCCGTAACCTGGGCTCCCTGGAGTGGGATATCCCTTGACGCCAGTATATCCGTCGCTGAACAGTATCTCCAATTGAGGTATCGTCGTATCGTTGAGCCATTGAATTTTCTTCTTCTCGATTGAGTTGTCGCTGTCGCCGATCGCCGTCTGAGCAAGAGCAGTAAGCTCTGCCTCACCCTCGCCACCAAGAGCTTGGTTCCAGTTGGTAAACGTGTATCCGCTACCAGAGTATCCATACATCGAAGTCTTGCCTTCACGCCAGAGCTGGAGCTGCTCGGCTGCATAGGCTGTGTCATACTTGAGACGGTCGTATCCAGTGTAGTTGCTCTTCAGCTCGTACGAACTCTGGATGCGAATGTGATCCTGGAGATTCTCACCTACTCCTGGAAGATCAATGATCTGCTCGATACCAGCAGCAGAGAGAATATCCGCCTTGCCGATGCCGGAGTTCTCAAGGATAGAAGGGCTGAGTAGACCCCCACCGGAGACGATGACCTCGCGACGTGCGGCTAGGACGGTTCCGTCGACAAGAGTTACCCCAGTAGCACGCTGACTACCGTGGCAGGTGGTCTTGAGATTGACTTTGGCAACCTTTGACTCTGTAAGAACAAAGTGGTTCGCACCGGCCAAGGGTAGGTAGGAGTTCGCGCTGTAGGATCGGTTGTAGTGGGTCGGCTCGATGCTGTTGGGCGAGTACAGAACACCCAGAACGTCACCGTTCAAGGATTCGAGGTTCGTTTCGATCCCCAGGCTGTTCATGACCGGGAACAATGGGGCTTGGTGCTCGGGGATAAGCCGGTTGATCAGAGCCTTGATAGGTCCGGAATCGCCAACGCCCTCGCTCCCAGTGTAGTACTGGGTGTTGGCCGAGGTGAAATTCTCAGACTTCATCATGGCAGACCGCATCGAGTCCCAGTTCCACCCTGGGCTACCAAGCTCTTCCCATCCGTCGTATTCGTGAGCAGACGCCCTGTCATATGAGAAGAGGTTGAGTGCAGAGCTCCCACCCAAGACGTGCCCTCTTGTCTGAACCCAGACGCGGCCATTGGATCCCTCTTGCGGCACAGTCGTGAGATTCCAGTCGTACTTGCTACCAAAGGTCGAGCCTCTCCGACCCGGGATCTCAATGCGCTCGTCACCGAGACCTGCTGGACCTGCTTCGATGACAAGGACTGTTGCATTCTGCAGCCCCTGACTAAGACGGGTCGATAAAGCAATCCCAGCGGTACCTCCGCCGACAACAATCTATGTAGACATTAGTTGATTGACATCATGTGTCGGGCCGGGTATAAGCGGTCATAGAGCACGAACATAGTCAAAGGCCTTGTCAGTTGGCTGACCAGGAGCCGCTGACGCCGCTGCGACAAGCAGGGCCAGGACCGAGGGGACAGGTAACATTTCGAGATATAGCGATCTTCGTGCGAGGTACCTTTGCACAAGGTCAGTGTTTGATCTAAATCAAGCGAGCCACGCGAACATGCAGGCTTGGTTTGCGGATAGGGCTGGAATAGGTATACTTTTACGGACCGGACGGTGGCACGAACGTCGCTGGGAGTATGTGTCTCGATGGCGATCAGGACGCCCGACACCACTTGGAAGTTGGAACTCCTCTCGAGTCAGTCTTACGCGAGGGCTTGAACGCTCGACGGACGCTTCGGATCAAGATTCCGTGAACCTTTTGTATAAGAGGACCTAGGGGCCCCTGAAACCTGATGCAGCTTCGCAAAACGCGCGATAAAATAATCTAAATTGTTATTAGCTTTCGTACCGACCCATCGAATGAATGGAGCCAGGGCATACCAAGATCGGGCGTTCTGGATGACGGGTAATGACAGCCCTTGCACACGCAGCGCGGCATTGAAGACGATTAGATGAACCACCCGAGAAAACGTGGGTAGCTTCCAAAGTAAAGGGTCTAGGTATTCACGCCCTGGCCGGGGTGAAAACAGCTGAGTGTCCAACGCTAAAGAACCCCCGGACAGATGTTGAATGGCGTAGGCAACCTTGTTTTACTTAGCTGGTCCGCAGAGTACCATGAACCGTTGAATCTGCATCGTCTTGACGCCCTGGCTCTGTAAGGATAGCTGCTGCTAGTTGTTGGGAGATGGGCGGGGTTCCTCGGACTTCGCAGCAAGGATTCGGCAGTTTACCCCGGTCGTGCCCACCGCCCATTCCAATACGAATCTGCTAGCCTAGTGTTCGCTTACGAGGACAGGGATCATATGGGTGTACGAAAGAGGCGCCAAGATGGCGTGGTAAGGGGGTTGCTTGGCTTGACTGAAGACTCTATCCATAAAGTAATAATCCAAGACGAAAGATGGCAAGTATCTCTGGCAATTGAAGAGACTGGATTATTCACAGTGTTGGTTCCACGGGGTCGTATACGACAAATAGTGGTAGCAATTATCACTCGTCTGTTGGTGATCCTATTGCTTGTTCTTCTTCCTGTTCTATCTTACATTGTAGGCAGCAGTCGGTCGAAGTAGGTAGTGACGGCCTGGGTGGTTGTCCCACCTTTATCCGGCCGTGATGACTAAGCCAGTTGTCCCACTTCGCCCAGGGCAGGTGCCAGCCAGCCCATGGTACCTGCCTATTACTCCTTATCAGCCTTTGCTGTTCCAACACACAGACTTCAACGGTATCGTACGAATGTACTGCTAGAACTAGAGTCGCCCTGCTTTTACTGACCTCAAACACGAAATTGGCATTGTCACGTCCGTTCAGAGACCGTTTCCCAGCACAGGTGAAGATATCCTCTACTAAGACGTTGATAGACACGGACTGAACCGTTGATTTGGACAGTACCGAGAGTGCGTGGGACCCTGTATATCACAGCCCAGTAAGAGCTCGCTATCGCAAGCTGACTGAAATCAGGGCTTAGTGATTTAACACCGAATCAGGCCACCTTTGGCGATACTTTTGTGGGAGTTCGGAGGAACATTAATAGTTGGCCTCTCACTACGGTATTCTTCCACAATATTTTACACCGGTCCATGGCTGGGACTTGATGCACATTTCCTACCGAGCACACTGATGGACTTCGAGATATATCAGCAACTTCAACCACAACAATGGCATGACTCTAGTCCCTAAAAAAAGGTTGTCTCTCACAAGGTCAACTTGTCTCTGATGCTCCGAACGTTGCGATCTCGTTGTTTTCTCTCAAATAATGCCCAGACAAAACTGTGGAGATGCGAGTCATAAACCCAAAGAGACGGAAGCCAGGGTGTAATCAAAAGCCGCGCATACCACTCCCTTGACTCCCATGTCTTGAGAAGCCGAACCTGCACGGCAGCGGAGCAGGTTCCGCATTCCGGACGGCTCTCGTGCTGCCACCCCTTTGTATTCACAGGAGCAGGCACGGGAAGTCTAATGTCGATTCTGCGTGCCTGAGTCACATTGCCGGCCGAGTGGTAACGCAATATCTGGGGGGGAATCCGAACAGCCACCACCCGGGCGCCACAGAATTTTGCAGTCTGTCTGAGCTATGTGGACGAATTGTCTGATGGGTTCTGCGGCGGACTTGTTTGAGACAAAATGCTCAAACAGAACAAGGGTATGGCCCGATAGAACTATCTTATATCACTGCCATCTGGCCATTGCTGAGATGGAAGCGTCTTCCTCCGTCATGTGCGTTCTCGGAGACGCCACAACGGCGTGCCATTGATCTCGGAACTGATCTCGACGACACCACTCCCGCCAACGGACTGCTCCAAATAGCAGCTACGACGATGAACCCACTCCCCCGAGATGATTCACCCCCGCCGAACGAGGACGCCGGTCCAGTCTCCTTCTCTCTCGCCCTCGTCCTGACAATCTTCCTCGTCATCACAACAAGCCTCCGACTATGGGTCCGAGCAGCGAACCGAAAGCTCGGCTGGGACGACTTGACCATCGCTCTCGCAGGAGCAACGGCAATTATACGATTTGCCTTTGTCGTCTTGCAATGGAAGCACGGAAACGGAAGACATCGAGTCTATCTCAGCGACCACGACTACATGATGATCAACATGTACGGCTGGTGGGGCCAGATGCTGCTCTTTATCTCCGTGGCGTTTTTGAAGGTCTCCATCTGCCTTCTGATCCTTCGTATCAAAGATACCAAGACGCTGAAGCGCCTGCTGTACGCCATTATGGCTGGTGTGCTCATTACGAATTTCGGGGTCGTGATCATTCTCATAGCCGAGTGTCAGCCCATTGGCTTCTGGAGGGGCAAGTCAGCTGTGTGCTGGCCAACTCACATTCGGATTTACTTCATCTACGCGACGATTGGTAAGATGGAGGTATCATCGATGCAGCAGTGTTTGATTGCTGATGCAGGTCAATAGCATACTCGGTCTTGACGGACCTCATATGCTCTCTACTTCCCCTTGTGGTAATTTGGAATGTCAAGATCCCTCGGCGGACAAAGACATCAGTCTCTTGTTTGATGGGACTCGGCCTTGCGTGAGTTTCTGTTACGCGTCTGTCAGTGACTTTGAAAGACACCACATCGCCTAACAATCCCTCTTTCTAGAACGACCGGGTTCGGCGTCGCTAGAGCGGCGTCACTGGGAGATTCCACCTCCGACCTGAGCTGTGCGTCCAACCTCCCCCCACCTTCAACGGAACCCACCAAAGCAATGGAAGACTGACAACTAACACCTTACAGGGGCATACTGCATCGCCGCAATCTGGTCGAACCTCGAACTCTTCCTGGGTATTATCGCCGCAAACCTCGCTCTCTCAAGGTCCATCTACGTCCACTTCTTCAGCAATGGCAAAGCGCAACAGACTCTTCCGGGGTCGACGGGAAGATCTAACCCCTTGGAGTCGGGATATCTCAATAGCAAACTCCGAGGGGACCGCTTCGAAGTGCCTTCGACGATGATTGGGTCACCTCGTCGGAGAGGTTCGGAGACGAGGAGCTCGGATAGTGACATTCCACTAGAGCCAGGTATTCAAAAGAAGACTGAGTTTTGGTGGTCGGAGGATGATGAAGGTCAGCCGCGTGGGTCGATCTCCGTGAGTCGATATTAATGGGAGTAGTACTTTTGTAGTTAGCACGTGTGTGTAATTAATCAGGTGTTGTTCAGTTGACGTCTCCACGAGGATCCCTGATTTCAGCCATTGCCGAGTGAAACTACTATCATGAAATTATACCGCCCGTCCTCTCGACGATGAAGCACGACACGATCGGAAGGTAATTTTCAGGGCGCGTCGTCTTAAGCCAACTAAGCTTTAAGGGAGTAAAACGTGGTTTTCTCGAACTCCGTGACATCCCACTCCGTAAGACTCTACACTAGCCTTGGGGGATTAAGAAACCAGATGGTTATAACGGAACTAGGGCACCAGTGGGAACTAGGGATGGATAGAACACATAGTAGCTCACGAGCAAGACTTGGAGGACGTCAGGATACGGCGTATACTATATAGTATATAGCTAGAGCCTGCGACCCTTCACGCCACATATTCTCCGGGAGGTCTGCCGCAAGGGCGGCTGCGCCCTTGCCGCCATGGCGTTAAATAGAACAACAACAACAACAACAACACAAGGGAGGGAATCTTGGATTCAATTTCCGAACAGACTCCATGAACCAAAATAGAACGTCGCGATGACTCCAGTTCTGTGTATGCCGTATTATTTGACAGAACTTTGGTGGTGGATAGGGTGTCACAGAGAGTCGAGAAAAAGTGCGGGTTGTGGCGGGGTTCTTATAGATTGGCAGATCAGAGGAGGGACCCAAACTATCGGGGAAAATCTGAGTCATCCACGGCTAATTGCCAGTGAGGCCGCCGAAGGTTCACGCCAAACGTGGAACAAGTGCATGAGGCTTTCCATCAAGGTGGCCAAGCAAGATAATTAAGATTCAACACTTGAGTCAATTAAGGCAGTCAAAGCACAACCTTGATGTTGTCAAGGTCGGGTACTAGGGTCTGGTGGGCGCTCAGGTTGTCACAATCGCTCCAGTGATCATTCGATAAAACATTGCAGTCTTTACATCATCGAGTTTGGCACTCAGTTTCCGGCAATATGTAGTAGTCATATTTTGTAACTCTGCGCCTCCCTGCCTCTCTAATTAAGGGGCAACCCCCCCCTCCCCAACAAAATTGCATATCGAATAATCACACTATTGCAGCATCTACCAATTGCTGTTAAACACTATGTTTTGAGATAAACTTTGAGATCTCGGGACAGTTGAAGAAGCTCTTCATCATCCAGGTTCTTCACAATCAACTGCCACTGGTCAGCATCGAGAATGGACAGGGCACAGGCCCCAAAGTACTTGGACTTACCCTCAATGGCCTCAAGATGAAGAAAACTTAGACAGAATGACACCTCTATGGCATCAACTGCCAAGTACTTAATCTGAGGAATTGTGAACTGCAAGGGGGAATGGTGTTAGCTAACGGAACAATTGTTTCAAAACGAGATATGAAGTGAACATACCATGCCTGGAAATGACAGACCATCCTTCCAACCACTCTAAACAATACCCAAAATGGATCACGTCTCCTGTATCAGGATGTTGATGACGAGCTTTGGGCAGCTGTCAGTATGAGCATGATCAAAAGCCGGCGTACTGAGACTTACGACGGTCGACATCACCACCAACGAACGACACGATCCCCTCACAACTATCAACAGGTATAAGGCACAGCTGATGTCAAGGCCCAGAATGCTCGTCTTCCACTTCTTGTTCCGCGTGGTAGCACGCCACCCATCCAGCACCTTGCTGATGATGAGCTCGAGCGCCATGGTCGTGTTTCTGCGAGAGAACCCGAATTGGGTGAGAGGATTCAGGTTGTAATAGTGAAGGGCAAGCTTCGAGACTGGTCCTTGCCTTCTATGGCGAACTACAAGGCAATAGTTTTATTTTTTCCTTTTTTCTCCATGTATTGCCATTTACGATGCAGAGACTTTGACATCTTCACGTTGATAGGGTGCACTGTATGAAGTCGACGGGCGCTGGGCAATGGGCGCTGGGCAATGGGCGCCGGGCTTCTGCGCTCTGCGGTCGGCTTTCTTCCCCCGTGCGGCGGGGCGGGTCCGCTACAAGATGCCCCCGGCGCCGGCAGTGGCTCTCGCCGGTCCCACCACCAAGTCCCTGAGCTGACCGAAGGCACCCCAGTGGCCAGCATTTGACAGGTCCCAGGGAGGTGGATGCAGTCTTCTCGGCACAAGACACCGCGAGTCCGCGACTCCCTCGTAAACTTCCCCTCTTCACCTCCGCCAAAGGTTCACAGCAATATCGCAGTTGCATCGTTATCGGACAGAATCTAGACTTGATTTACAGTAGCAAGTCGTCCCAAAACTAACATCAATCTTCACCGCAAAATTTTCGAAGCGCCACGTCTTGTTTCTCCTCACACCGCCATGTGCTGACGGACAGTCGAGGCCCCATTCACCGCTGAGATGCGCGCTCGGTCCCGACGTCCCCTCCCAACCTTGGTCCCAAAAGCATCCCATCATTTAGAAAACGCCCCGAGTCACAAGAAGAGGACATAGCACATTTGACACAATCTCATTGGTTCACAGGATGCTGTACGACTACGGGCGGACGTCCGGCCCGGCTCCTCATCCACCCGACTCGTTCAACGGCCACGGCCTTGACGCCAAAACTCGGAATTGGCGCTCTCCCGGATCCATGGGCGTCACGCCCAATATTGGACGCAACAAGCCACTCGGACTTGCTTTTCGTAAGCAGCCATGGAGCCATACTGAGAGGGCCACGAGACTGATCATGTTCCACAAAGTTATGACGATTCACAACCACCTGCCGATGTTTCTTGGACTCCCGGTCAGCATCTAAATATCGAGCTACCCCACACCACATCTTGCATCCCCTTTCCCCAGATCATCCACCCCCAGATCACCACCAGTCCCGCACATCACCACCACCTCATCTCCACCTCAACTTTCGACTTTGCACATATCTTCACAGCAAAGAAATACAACATGGCGATAACAGCCTCCACCGGAATCTGCAAACCCTCCGAACTAGCCCACCTCGTCCTCCGCACCGCCAACCCCGACAAACTCATCTCCTTCTACCAAACCTTCCTCAACGCAAAAATCACCGCCTCAAGCCCCCTCATCACCTTCCTAACCTGGGACCACGAACACCACCGCCTCGCCATCCTCAACGACCCCACCGCCGTCCCGCGCCAAGACAACGCCGTCGGCGTGGACCACTTCGCCCTGACCTTCGACTCTCTCGGCGACCTGCTGCAGTCCTACAAGGCCCGCAAGGACATGGGCATCGAGCCCGTCTGGTGCGTCAACCACGGCATGTCGACGAGTATGTACTACCGCGACCCGGACGGCGGCAAGGTTGAGACGCAGGTGGATGCTTTTGAGACAAAGGAGGATGCGATTGCGTATATGCTGAGTGCCGAGTTTGGCGATGACCCGAGGGGGGCGAGGTTTGATCCTGAGGAGATGGTCAAGAGGTTTGAGGCTGGGGAGGATGAGAAGAGTTTGATGAAGAGGTCGGCTTTTGCCAAGGAGGAGATGAGTTTTTGATCTCTTGAGTATTGTTGCATTGTCGTGTTGTGGTTCTTCGGGTCAGGGGTAAGGTTGGGTTGAGTGGATGCATAGTGCTCATGTAAGTCACTGGTACATATGTAATTACCCTGTAATTGCATTGCGACGACGACGATGGCATCTTTGGCATCCAATTGAGATGCGATTCAGTTTGAAGCCTTGGTCAGTCCCCTTCACAACCTGTCGTATGCTGGTATGCACTATTGGGCTCATTATTCTACTCCCAAGGAAAACTTGGGGCTGGAGTTGGATTTGACGCTTAACAGTTCAGGCGAGGTTTTCAACACTCGGCCCGAAGGTTCTGGTGGGTGCGATATTGTCGTTTTCCCTCGTGCAGTAGGGAAAGCTCAGGCAAAGTCACGGCTCGATTTGTAAAGTTGCGCAACGGGCATGTGATGCCAAAAGCTAGCCAAGTAGTTGGCATAATGAAAAGCTTCTCAAAACATCACGCATTGAGCTTTGATTTCTATTAGTATTATCATGGCAACATTTCACTATCACTACTAATTACCAATCTCAGTATCACCACACAGTTGTCGTTTCTTTCACTCCTCTCACAGATCTCTCCACCTTTATTCCTTAACTAGTAATCTCAAAAGAAGTCGAGGGTGAAAATCAGAAACCGCTGTGGGTAGATCAGACTATCAAAGTAATAACGGGTAAATCCGCATCGACCATATCGTCACATGATCACACGGGATACACTCATGACCACGAAACAAGTTTCCAAAGAACAAGTATGCGGCACTATAACCACGGGCTCAAAGCTCGCGCAGAGGGCCTTTATAGCCGCAGAATGGATTAGAGCTCATAGATAATGTTGGTAAACAGTCCACCTAAACGGCCGTGTATGAGTTCTCTGATTCTCTTATTGATCGTGGACTGGCAAAATTATCTTCAAGTACGCAATAATGGTTTAGGGTCATACCACCCGGTTCTATTTCAGATTTTCCGTGTTACTTAAAAAAGTCACTTTGGCTTAGAGATATCCCAGAAAAACAGAAAGATATTTGTACTGAAGCTACTTCGCAGTTGATGAGATAAACTCTTATCCCATTGACTGCTGCTTAACGTCAGCGGAGCCCTTGTGCGGGGTACAACCAATAAGGGCATACAGGCTCATCTGTATCAGCCAATAATTAGGCACGTTTTAAGGTACTTATATTGTCTATATATTTAGGTTATGCTAAAGGTACTAGCAATCTCGGTCGGTATATAATAATCTATTATAATCTAAGTAGCCTTTTCGAGTATACCTTTGTAGCTTTTTAAGGTTATTACTAGATATCTCGCCTAGAGCCTAGCGGGATCGTAATATTATTATATTACTATAATAGGAGTAACTAAGGCGAACAGGATGTTACGACCCAACATGCATGACCCAGAACAGGGCCTGCCCCGCAGGCTCGCGGCGGTTACAACGCACCATATATGCAGGAGACAAGGGACACTAGGCACCCTCTCACGGAACGGAAGAACTATGATACAAGTCACGTGATGATAAGATAAGATATAAGCGACCATGGTGGGGCCATGAGCGCTCATGCCAAGTAATGAGCGCTCACCCGATCAGAAGGACTGATCATTGACAAAGGATATGTTCAGGACCAGGACTTGTATATAGGATGGACTCGAGCCGGACTCTAGGATAGACTTCCCATAGCTCTTCAGCAATTAATTTCGTATCAGATCTTATGATCGCTTTCAGCTATCTTCCCTGAGAACCTCTTTGTTAAGACTACGATTGATCACCGAAGCCTTCCCTTACCTCACGACTTACAGACATAGCTTCCCTGAAGCTATCCCCGACCACGAATACTGTTACCAGTTCCGCAGCCTCGACTTCTGCAAACAAACCTCACTACGACTAGCTGGCCGTAACACTTCTCTAGCGTATAATTGGTAATATAGCCGACTTTAAGGTCTTTGGGAAGGAGCTTAATAAATATATAGCTCCGTATAGAGGTATCGGTAGCTATAGAGACATCGGAGGTATTAGAATCACTAGAAGATATCGCAATATTAGTTGAAATAATGGTTTTAGTAGTGATAGAAGTCAAAAAACCATAGGGGTAAATGATGTTTCGTCCTGTACCGATTGAAATGCGGGGTAAAAGCGGGTATTATTATTATGGGTCCGATTCCGCTGACGTTAAGCAGCAGTCAGTGGGATACTAGGTAGGCAGTCACAGACCTAAGGGGACATGGGGCGTAAGATCTGAACTTCTGAAGCGGAATACATCTCATTCTCCGACATTTGCCAGACTCTGCTATGCGTGCTGCTCAAACAATGGGAGGAGCACTTCGCCCCCTTCGAGACATCCTCTAATGGTGTCAAAGCCGAGTCTGAGAGGACACATCGCTAGGTAGAAGAATGCTGGAAGCCATTCACACAGGGATATCGCAAAAGGTATCGCGGCTCGAAATGCTCAAATCCGGCGCAAATGAGCTTTCAGCATTGCATAACTGCCTGTTTCTAGCGGCCTACATCAAATAGCACCCTCAAAGACCCTGGCGAAGGCATGAAGGCATTGTGGGAGTCGTGGCACTGAGTGAACGAACGTCGCATGCAGTTGTCGACCATGTTCCGTTCAATTCAAACTCCATCGTCTGCTAGCGCAATACAAGGAACACAACTCCAAACGCCTCATCTCCGTCCAGACGATACAATCTCATTCCAACACAAATCCATGGCATGCGCCTGGTTTTTTTCTTTTTTCTTGCTGTGGCTGGGCCAGGACATCATCAGCCAAGCCTTTTTGGCAGGCCTCGAGTGGCTTTGAATCTCCGACGGCTGCAGATGACCCCTGAACTTTAGGCGAGCACCAAGCTGCTGGCTGGCCCGTCGAGAGTTACACCATCGCACTCTGGGTGACGTCAAGAGGCACGGGGAACGGCTTGGCAGCGCGTCGTCGCGCCTGGATTCTCGACATCCTCTCGGCTCTCTCTTAGCGATGTGTGGTTTCTGTGCTCTCTGTGTGTGTTGTCTCTCTCTTACAGGTACTACGGAGTGCCTGTTTGTAGTGATGCAGCTGCCAAGAGATATGATGAAGATGGCGGTGATGGTGCGAAGGTGCGCTTGGCATATTACCTGACGATTTCGCTCTTCACAGCCCAAGTAACAAGCACTGCTTCCCTTTCTTTCTCATAATTATTTGGGTAGTCTGGAGAGAACATCATCGCAATATTGCCAATCATCAACTCGGTGGATCCGCCACCGTCCCTGCCTCATCCTCTAGATCTTCAGTAACACCTGGAAGTGCTCATCCTCAGACCTCCGCAGCAACATCGCCTGCTTCCTATGATGGCCCGCTTCAACCCTTTCGCACGTCGTCGGCAAGACACAGCAACCCTCCCAACACATGGCAAAAGTAGCCAGGACGCAAAGGTCAACAGTCGCTGGCGTGGACACGATTACAGCATGGCCCACCGGCCGCCCTTTATGCTCTGGCTCAAGGTGACATGGCTAGACATCCTCACCATGATCATCATGGGAGTCATTGCCCTAGTGGTACGCACCCTACCTCACAGCCAACCCTCGTCTTAGACGTATTACCTCTGCCATCCAACTAACACCACCTCTCCAGGTCTTCAGAGCCCACCCGCCAGCACACCGAACGTTCCCCGTCACCTTTGACAATGGCGAGGTCGTCTACCCCCAATTCGCATACCCGCACATCCCGCAATACATCCCCAGCCACGCCGCCACCGCCCTCGGCATCGGCGTGCCCATCCTCTCCATCCTCCTCTGCCAGATCAGGGTACGCTCCTTCTGGGACATCAACAACGGCATCATGGGCCTCCTCTACTCCGTCATCGGCTCCACCGTCTTCCAGGTCATGATCAAGTGGCTCATCGGCGGCCTGCGTCCCAACTTTCTCGAAGTCTGCCAACCCGACATCACCAAGGCCTCCCAGCCGGGCGGCAACGCCACGGGCCTCGACGGCACGGGCTACGGAGGCATCATGTGGACGTCGGATATCTGCACCAGGGAGATGGACGGCACCCTCTCCAACGCGATGGAATCCTTCCCCTCGGGGCATACCACTGCCATGTTCTCGGGCATGGTGTTTCTGTACCTCTACCTCAACGCCAAACTCAAGGTCTTTTCAAACCACCACACGCCCATGTGGAAGCTCGTCCTCACCTACGCTCCGATCCTCCTCGCCACCCTAGTCGGCGGTTCCCTGACGGTCGACCAGTCCCATAACTGGTACGACGTTCTAGCGGGCGCCATCGTCGGGACCGTGTTCGCCTTCTCGTCGTACAGGATGGTCTACGCTGCCGTCTGGGACTGGCGTTTCAACCATATTCCCCTCCATCGCAAGATGCCTCTGGAATTCAACCTCGAGGCTATTGGCGAAGGCGGCGCAGTAGCCACCCGTAAGGCAGGATGGGGTAAAACACGCGGAGAAAAGGGAGCTGGTCCCGACAGAATGGTTAGCAGGACAAGGTATACCACCGGCAGTAGGGATGCGCGAGGCGTCGGTGTTCCCCGTAAGGCGGTGGCATCTCACCACTGGAGAGGCGGCCGGCGTCCTTCTGGCGAGGACATGGTGTAGTCGGTCGCCGACTCGTTCCGCCGGGTGGGATTTTTGCTTGGTCCGAGGAGTTGCGAATGATACCCAAATTGCAGACAAGCATCGATCCGGTGGTCTCGATAGCAATATGAGAGATGGCGCCAGAGCAGACCCCGTCGCCTCAGATACCTGCGTGTTTGACTTGTCTACTTAGTACTCATAATCAATACTACACAACAAAGTTTTATTCAAAGCATCAACCAGTGACGGACCTCTCTTCCCAGTCATTAAACTCTGATCAGTTTCTCTTGGCTTGGCCAAGCTTCACAGACACGGCATAGGCTTTCGGGGCGCACGTTCATAACATGCCAATGGTATCATATCTAACCTGATACTAAAGACCACACTGGTCTGGGATCGTACATGCGGCGCGGTATGCTCGGAACCCGCAATGCTACCACTTCGATGCAAAGTCGGGCGCCCACGTGCTGCCGTGTCTTGATCTGATGTCAGTCGTTGTTGATGGGTCACCGTTCAGTCTGATGTTCTATGGAGTCCCTCGAGTTGCTCCACTTTCAGCACTGCCATGTGTCTTTGCATTCGTGGTGTGAGGTTTGCGGTTGCAGTTGCAAAGCTGCTGTTATCAAAGTTTAAAAATAGTTATAACTCTACCTCAAACAAGCCACCAGCCGCGGTTCTCTGGCTCAGAAACACAGCGGGAAACCGAAGGCCATTGCCCATTGGGAAGAGTCGTTCTAGTCTCGAACTTTCGCGGGAAGTATGAGAGAGTTACCGTGTGTATGTGAGTGTGTTGTCAGTTGTCAAATTACGGACATGAAGCCGTTATGGGGAACCGCTGGTGCGAGTTCGAACACGAAAGCGCAAGTGCACCGCTGTGCGATGGACCCTCGTCTCCCCTCGAATCAGTTGCACTTTATTTCGCCGTTTGTCTCGTTATTTTTCTCAGACTTGTGAGGTGGGAGTCTCGCACATAGTGAGCGGTTCTTTCGCGAGTCACCGTGGGCTTCTGCATGAGTCTGTGGTGTCTTGGCGCGCAAAGCGTTTCTTGGCGGCCTGAACTCTATCACAAAGACCAAGTCAGCGGTTTTTTTTTTGCTGGCTGCTGCCCATTCCGACTCACAGCCCACCATCGCCCCCCTGAGTTGCAGATCAGGTCCCAGAGAGTTAAGTCTTTCGGGGCGTGAATCAGAGTTTTGCTACTTTACACTACGTGATTGAACTCTAATAATGAGGCAAACAAACAACTCTTCGGGAAGACTCCGTGCTCTCGAATAAGGTGACAAACGATGTCGAACATGACCAGTATCGAACTTTCTATTGTCGTTAAAAATAGGCCTGGCTCGGCAACTCTTTAAGCCTCAAAATAAGGTCGCATTGAGCCCAGCGAGGCGGATACTAGAAGAGAGCCTCCCGCAAACCCCAGAGAGGGCTCCGCACAACCGAGACTCCGAACAAGAGAAGGATCAGTTCAACGACATCACGCAGTATAGTAAGGTAGGTAGTATGGAGCTCTGCCTCAATCTGGAGCAAACCCGGCAGATGTCGTCCCCGCACGGATAGCAACCGGGATCCGTAGACTAGTCGGCTCGCCCGACCTCTACCCCTTGACCGGATAGGAGTCAAGTAGATTGGATCGAGCAAATCCCACCACCTGTGAGAGGTCCCCGCCACGCCCTCCCCTCTTCTAGAAAGAACCTGTCAGCCTGTCAGGAACGACGAGTCTTCACCTGACATGAACCTTGGAGACGAGCAGCAAAAGCAGCAAAAGCATCGCAAAGAGGCCAAGACCATCCGGCCACCCAAAGGGCTACAAACTCAAAAATGCCCAGACCAGTAGCAAGTTTGACATATGATGTGTAATCAACCCGCCTCCGCCCTCCCACCTTGGCTTTATGTTAATCTTTCTTTTCACACCGTTGGAACTGTTGGATTATACTAGGTGATGGACTGAGTGCTAACCACGCAGGCGGGACGAACTCTATGATCATCTCCCGCTCGAGCTGCCATCCCGGACGGTCGAATCTATACCAGACGACTTATATTGCAGAGCTGTTCCTGAACGAGTTCCACTTTGACACTTTTTGCTAACACTGACCAGCTCGAGTTGCCCTGTGACTGTCACTTCATTCTCTTGTGCCTGCCGTTGAGAGATGCCGCCGCTCCATGTTCCCTCTGTGGCAATGAAGCTGTGACCCTCACGGATAGACTACCTCAAATGTCCGTCCCCTCCGTACATGCATAGAAGAAGACCGAGAGTACTGGCCCATCTCTCACAGCAGAGGCTGTTGTCTATTGCCGATCTCATCAATTTACACAAGATTGTGGAGAGGGCTCGGCGGTGATCGAAAATATCCAAACATCTTGGCTTGTATGTCTCGGTGGGCTACCGGTGAGGTTTCTCCATTCTAAACCACTTTGCAATGTACAGAGCACAGGGGCATGCTCTGATGCGATGAATAAGCAGCTTTGAATGTCTTTGACTATCCGGTACTAGTGAGCCTCAAGACAAGATATAAGACCACCTTCCTCATCGCCCTTTTGTGAGCAGATCTTCTCTCCACACCAGGCTTCTCATCCCCAAACAAACATTCTCTTCACTCCCCTCCTTCAAAAACCTTTCCCTACATACTCTCACTGTTTCATCTCGTTTGTATCTACTTTTGTTTCTTTCTCTCTCTCTCATTCAAAGTCTGGTACTATCAACAACATCAACCTCCCTCCCACCCAAAAACCACCTCCTTCACCGACGACCATCCATCAACATGGCGTCCCGGCTGGTCCTCTTCTCCCTTGCCGCGCTGGCTGCCGCGAACCCCATCAACCCAGATGGCTACGAGCGGCCGGCCCGCCGACACGTTGGGGGCGTAGGACACCTTGCCCGCGCCGTCATGGCGCCTCAGCAGCCTCGCGGCGCGCCTGTCGAAGGTCCCGCGAGAGTCGAAATCAGATACGCGAACCCGGGTGACAATGGAACTTGCGAGGATACCCCTGGCGTTGGGTCGAGCGCTGAGAAGGCAAAGGATAAGAAGAAGGACAAGAGCAAGGACAAGAGCAAGGATAAGAACAAGGACAAGAAGAAGGGCGGCAGCGGCTCCGGATCCGGATCTGGTTCTGGCTCTGGCTCTGGCTCAGGCTCGGGCTCGGGCTCTGGTTCAGGCTCTGGTGGCTCAGGATCCGGCAGCTCCGGCGGCGGCGGCAGCACCGGAGGCGGCAGCACAGCCAACAACGGCACTCTCCCCGGCGGTGGCGGCAGTTCGGGCGGCGGCAGCAGCGGCAGCGTCGTCAAGACCTTCCCCACACCTGCCGGCACCGAGAACCTCTCCGCGGTGCGGACCATCAGCGGCAGCTTCGACGGCGGCATGAAGATGTACGACCGCGTCCCCAGCACCTGCACGGGCAGCGAAGGCGGACAAAAGGACGCGGCCTTCATCCTGGAGGACGGCGCCACCCTCAGCAACGTCATTATTGGAGCCGGTGCCGGAGAGGGTATTCAGTGCCAGGGCAGCTGCAACCTCGTCAATGTGTAAGCCAACAGCGTTCCAACTCTTGATCCAATACCACATACTAACACGTGAGCAACAGCTGGTGGGACAAGGTCTGCGAAGACGGCGCCACCTTCCGCCAGACGGGCGGCACCTCCACGGTCAAGGGTGGCGGCGCCCGCGACGCCCCCGATAAGCTCTTCCAGCACAACGGCGGCGGTACGGTCGAGGTCTCTGACTTTTACGCAAAGAACGTCGGCCAGTTCTGGCGCTCGTGCGGTAACTGCAAGACGCAGACGGCGCGCACTGCGGTTTTCAACAACATCTACGTCGATGGCGGCAAGACGGTCGCTCACTACAACGGAAACCTCGGCGATAAGGTCACGATCAACGGCGCTTGCGTCTTGGGCGGTGCTACGGTGTGCAAGAACTCCAAGGGCGTCACTGGTGGTGGCGAGCCTGGCGATGCGGCTGATGATCCGACTATCTGCGTGCAGACTGATGTCAAGACATCTGGCTGCTAAAGGATTGGTTGGTTGTTGTTCATGGTGAAGAAAAATTCAGGGAGGCTGGGTTGACGTAGTCGCGAGGACTCCAATGTCTGTGTATCTGCTTCTTCTCTGTATATCACGCTTTTGGACTGGTCCTTTGGGATTCGGACTGGATGTCTCGGAGTCAAGGGTTCTGTTCGAGCTGTAAATACTTGTACAACTGCAGGATTTGCAGGTCAATCAAGCACATACCTCTTAAGGTTCTGGAATTTCTGGTGATGAACTTCTCACGAGGTGAATTCGAACGTTGGGTCTTCCTGCTCAGCTCAATTGCAAGAGCGGATCAAGTACTGTTAAGAGTTCTTGGATAGACTCCCGGTTCTGCGACATGACTAGACTTGACTGATATTTTTTCCTCTTTAAAGATACCCAGCAAGGTCCTGATGCCGGTATTGATGGTGACGGCGTTAGTAGATTTCTACAGCGAGCTTCCGAGTACCTATGCCCCTTCAGCTTTCCAGCCCCTTCTTGATCGTGTCAGCAAAAACGCTCAGGAAGATTAATATCATTCCGACGACATGCCTCTACCCTGAAATCCTGATTCACGAGCAAAGGCGTGCATCACAGTAAGTATCCGGCTGCGTTTAGCCGAGGAGCAAGATTCCTTCCTACTGGCACATACGTAAAGTAGGCATCACAAGTTAACGTTGCTGCCGGAAAACACTACTCGTTCCTGAGTACGGCACTAAAAGTCTGATACTTACATAGGGTCTAGCTAATAGAAGTTGATTCCGCTGCCTTGTGGTTCCAATGCTCACCATAACGGTTTGTCCCAAGGCCTATCCCAACCATACCTGCACGACGCGAATTCAGCACTTGGCTCTACACTGGCCCCTTGCTTTTCCTCGTCAACTATTCTGTTCTTCCAGTCGAAAGCTGCTTTGTCTCGTGTAGCCCTTGACCTCCACACACGTGTCTCTGCTTCACAAAACCCCGAGTCGTCAAACTCCATGTCGGCACTCCGCCTTTCTAGTACCCCGTAAAACTCGAATACGGCTGGGACTTGTCCGTTGAAGTTCTCGCTAGGCTCCCACCTTCCCTTGAGCTCTGGGGGGTTGATGAGACTACTTTGCACAGATACCCTGATCAACTCTGAGGTCACGAGCGCCACCGCTACTCGCGTTCTAGGGTTCTGTTGGAGCCACAACCAGTCGTTGACGTTGTCTTGAAAGGCAACTTCTGATACAGTAGCGAAAAATGGTCTGCTGAAGCCCTTTGCTGTTGTGGACCAATTCACAGGGACCGAGTCGATCTCGATTTCTCGGCAAGTGAAGTGGAGGGAAGCATGGCAATCTCGCCAGCCTTGTTTGTCGTGCTCTCTACTCATCGTGAAGTAGTTGTTTGAACTGCACTCCATGAAAGGGTCGGAGTAGGTCCTCAAGAATTCACATCATCTCGTGAGTGGTGAACAAACTTGAACATGACAATCGTAGTAATAAGATATGCAGACGTCAACGCTATCCCGAGGCGTCCCATCTCGTCTCATCCTCATCTCATTTCACTCATTCCACCTAGCTCACTCATCTCACTCCGCCCTCACTTCATTTACCCCCCACCTCACACTTCACTCACAACTCTCTCACGTCCTCACAAGCCACGCAGCCTCAATATTCGCCTTCGGATCCGGCGCCCCCTTGGCACTCTTCAACCAGCAATAATTCTCATCCGTCCCCTGCTTCCCCGCCGTAACCCACGCCACACCCACACACGGCCCATCAGCGCTCTGCGTCGTGACAGCGAGCGCCGCGCACAGGTTCATGCAGTCCTCCATCCTCGTCAGCGGGATGTGGCCCAGGTCGTTCATCGGATAATTATTGCCGCACTCACGCACGAAGCGCAGATTCGAGTTCGGCACCGTGTACGTCTTGTTTTCTGAGCTGAGGTCTGGGCAATTTGTCGTCGCTTCGCCCAGGATCGAGGAGGCTTGGCCTGGGAGCGGGATGTAGGCGAGTGAGGTTGAAGTGGAGGAAGCGGACGATGCTGTTACCGAGGCTGATGCTGAGAGCGCAGAGGCTCCAGAGGCCGATGCGGATGCGGATGCCGCTGACGATCCGCTTGAAGCGCACGCTGATGGTGACGAAGATTTCTCGAGTTTGCTGCTCAGGTGTCAGTCTCTTTTGCCTTTTCAAATTTGGATGGTTGTGTTCACTCACGCCTCGCACGTCTGCACATACGCCGCATGCGCCTGGGCAATCGTTCCCGCCGCAGCAGACGCGCCAATCGTCCCGAGAAAGAACACCAACGCGACAATAGCCACCCAAAACGTTGCCACTGGGATGCCCCATATCCTCTTGTTCTTCTTTGGCGGCATCCCCGCCTGGCTACCGCCGTAAGCCGTTCCGGCGGCCGTGGAGTGTGCGGGGTACTGGTGGCTTTCGTACCCGGTGTGCTGATCTTGGTATGGCGCGTATCCGCCCGGGGCCGGTGCCGGTACCGACTCAGGGGCGGCTCCCGGCGTAGGCTGGTAGTATTTCATGCCCGGTGAGGGCGAGGCCACCTCGAGGCCCGCATATTCGGCGGGCATCAGTCCTGTTTGGTATTTTACTTCGCGGTCCGAGTCTTGGGATGCTTGTCTGGAAGCGATGTTGCTGTTGTCCGGCGCGACCAGGTGTCTTTCCGGTGAACTTGATGGCATTGTTGATTCGAATTATGTGACAACGCCTCGCTGATGTCCAACCGCTAATCGACTCGATGGAAGGACGCTTCAGGAATATAGTACCGAACGAGAGGAACAAAGTCAAAGTGACCGTGACCAAATAACGAAAGGGCATGAACTCAAAAGGCAGAAATTCTAAGGGACCACATCGCGAGCCGGTTTGGAGTGGTGGCAGCCAAGATATACATTTACAACACCCAGAAGAGGAGTGCCAGCAGCAAGCAGATGATTTAAGGCCCGGCCCATCCTTCAGGACCTTCACCAACCTTCAAGAGCAGGGGAGACGCACAAGACAAGCGGTCCTACAAGGCTCCGTGATGAATGATCGACCTGTTGGGGAAAAGCAAGACCCAAGTCATGTTCCTCACCCTTGCCCGTCCCGCTACGAGCGGGCAGCATCGTTAACGCTCTTGGGCTTGATAATGGGGACTTTGGTTTTCTCTTTCCTCGACATGGGCGCTCCATCTCGAAAGACACTTCCCCAAAGGGAATAGCAGCATCGAAAGCCGCAAGTTATACGGAGAATGGGTGCCCCCATCATGCTCGTAGGCAACGGGATGGTGTCCAATGGACAAGGCCATGATCCTTGGCGCTGTTGCGTCCGCTAACCAGGGGGGTGCGTCAGGGCCACGAGAAGAGGATCTTGTGCCTGGTAGGTGGTAGGCAGCTCATTACGGCGGTCACATATCTCTGCCAGCGGCCGATGGCCGTGCACATGGGAGGTTGAGATGACAGGGCCGGCGAGATGCAAGTGAGATTTGAAACTCTGCCTCTCTCTCTGTCTCTCACTGACAGAGTCGCAGAGCTGAGCTGCCAATGGCACCCCACCACCAAGCCCTGCGTTTGGAGCGGCCTCATTAACTGATATTCTCAATAGACTCGTATCAGGGCTGCAGGACCGTCCCAGACTCGAGCAGGAAGATGTAACGGTAGCCGCCAAGCTCATGCTCTTCAGTTCTTTAGGGGGGGCCTTGGCCTGGTCTAAGCCACTGATCACTGTTGAATTGCCGCTTGAGGCACACGCTATAGACGGCCTTTTGGGCCCGGCTGCCAACGCAGTCTGCGCGGCAAACTGGTCAATCACAGCAGATTACAGAGTCTCATCGCCAGTTTCCAGGCCGAGTTGCTCGCGGCCAACGAGACCTACTTCGATCCAGTAGATCGGGAGCGTGTTGATGCTTGATACCAGTGCCATGGGAAGAGTGGTGCTCTTCGAATGCCAGCAACGAAGAATTTGTAATCAGGCAAGAAGACTCAGGATACAATCCCTCAAAAACCACGCGACAAACCTGAGCGATGGAAGGTGACCCCGGACCCCGTGTACACCCAAGCAACTCCCCCGTCTCACGGAGTTCACATCCGACACGCTTGAACAGATGTCGACATATACTTATTCTCTCCAGGCAACAGCCAACAACGCTAATACGAAGAAGCGTCTCCTCACTTCCCACTCAGAAGGCTCCTACGGCATGGAGTTGACGTAGTGTCGAAGATGGAGCCACCTGGAAGGCTTGAAGCAAATCCTCCAGGCAGAAGGATTTCAGCCCCGGCCCTCCGTAACAGCCAAATTTCGAATTGACAAATCTCGGCTGCAGCCTCCGTCAGAAGAGGGCAGGGGTCGGCCGCCTGTCGCCCATCCGTACTCCGTGGGGTCCGTATTTCCGGACGTCTTCGGGGCCAAAAGTCAACTCTAAAGAATAACTTTTTCTCTATTCTAAAAGTTTGGGGCTACGAATCGTAAATTCGGCGAGCGGTGTGCCGGGCTGTAGGTGAGTCTCTCGCTGCTTTGACCATTTCCACTGCGCGTCTACTCTGTCAGTCTTTGAACAAAGCCCCTGCTTTTCCTTTGAGCTAGATATTGCAAACCTGAGGGCGGCAACATCTTATGTCTGCATCGCCGCTGAATCCAGCAATCAATCCATCGCTCACTCAAGCAAACCAACAGGAGTTCAAACGTCATCGAGCCTTTCCGTCATTTCAGGGAACCAACCCAACACCCATTTCCAAAAGCTCTCGCCCGCAGTGGCCCAAGCCATCCCCGAATGCCACGCGCAACAGCGCAGAAAGGTGCTTGAAAAGGGACTTTGGTTCCCAATGGCCCGGCTCTGGACCAGCCTAACCGCCTTTCAACCATCCAAAGCTTGTATCTCGAAGCCGTAATTGCGTCTCCGCGCCCTTTTCTCGCCCCCCGGTGAGATCTACAAAGACTATTCCGTACAAGGTTTTTAATGACTTAACGTAACATCATCATCCCGACCGCGGGACCGCGGATACAAGTTCTTGTGGGTATTTTGGTGAGTGCGAGAGGTCCGAAGGAGCAAATCATGCATGACACCGCGGAGCCAGACCCGGCTCTGTTGCGCCTTTTGTTGCTGGCTTTTGCAGACTCAATGCCAATTTGCGCGATCATAATTTTTTTTTTAAGAAATACTGGTATTTTCTATATTCTTTTCTTTTTTCACCAACGATATGAATGCAGTGCTTCAATGACGTCAAAACAACCTCCCAACGTCCTAGACCTCGAGAGCTCCCCGCCCTCATGTTTAATGTAGATTCTAGACGCTCTACTGCGCAGTGTCTGCCTCCTCTCCTCTCCTCTGCTCATCAAGCTTAGTCTGCTCATTGAGCTTGGCCTGTTCGTTAAGCTTAGTCTGCTCATCGAGCTTGACCTGCTCAGCTAGCCTGACGGCCGTCTCGTAGGCCTCGGCACGCTCTTCAAGTATCTCAAGAACCTTGTTTGCACCACCCTGATGTTCCACAAGATGCTTCACCGGCAAAAACGCCTCACCCCGGTGGACGGAATCCCTCAGGTCCTGCGCCGACATCCACGCCCATCCTTCACACTTATACTCCTCCATCAACTATTTCAATCTAGAGTCAGTCACGCTATTTCTCCACCTCGCCTCAAGCCTCGCTCACACACAATCGAGGAAGCAAAAGGGCAGGGCTGCGGGGGGCTCTTTTACTCACCTTGGGCTCCTGACTCTCATCGATCATTTTGCACCACACGTGAACCGTAGTATACTGCCTCCCCTCCTTCTCGAAGATATCCTCCGTTATAGGCCCGTACTCGATGGCTTTGATATCAAGATCGGTCTCCTCTTTGATTTCTCGCACCGCGCACTCGAAGTGGAGCTCGCCCTTTTCTTGGTGGCCTCCTGGCATCTGTAGCATGCCTATTCATTCACGAATCAGTCAGCTTGCGCAAGGCAGCGGTTGCCAAAGTCCCTCGGACGGCAGAAAGTAGGAGGGAAAATGGAAACGTTTGGAGGAGCCGCCATCACTATGTCTTCTAGTGATGGGAGCTGTGGGTTTCAAATCTTACCGCTACCGTGACTGCCCATGCGCTTCCCGACGATAACCTTGCCATTTCGCTCGATGATGGCTGTGACGCCTACGCGGGGGAATTGGTGTTTGGGGTCATTCAAAGTTGGGGTCGCCATGTTTGTACTAGGTACGACCTTTGGGGGCAGTAAAGGAATTGAAAAAGAAATTTTTGTTAAGACCGGTGGACTTGCGGCACTAAGCTTCAGAGGTTCTCGAAGGATGAGAGATGATGATTTTTTGATTGCAAGTGTCGTGGTGATTGATGAAGCAGTCTGAGTCGAACTGATGAGGAATAGGTGGTTGCTCATTGGAGGCCAGATTGACTCATCCCTATTTCCCAGTCCCAGCTCTCCATTCACTTGCTTCGACCGTTGTTTGCTCGGAACCTATTCAGAGCATTCAGCGTAGCGAGTTTATTCACTTTTTCTTTGTTGGACAGAGGACTTGTTTACGCGGCGCAATCCGTTGGGCCATCCGTTGGGCCAGTTTACACAGGGAAAAGTCGTTTGGTAAGTGCAAACATTGTATTGATCATTTTCCATGTGGGGGGGTCCGCGGCAATCAGCCCCTCCATCAATCAGCCTTTCGGTGTCCAGTGGCACCAAATTAGTACGCATCGTAGTACTTCGCCTCGACGCTGACAGAATAAGGTACACTTCTCAATTTGTAACGACAAATCATGTTTCTATCCGATTTCAATGTAGAAAAGGAAAATCATTCACCAATTTTGAACTTATAACAGAGGCCGCCCTGGGCATGTATCATTGTTCTACGTAAAGCGGCCCTCCAAAGATCGACACAGCGCTCCGCATCACCACCAAAGACCACCCACCACAACCTCAAAACATGAACCACATCATCACCGCCACCAACCAGGCCTCAATTTCTCAAAAAGAATGGACGATCTGGGAATCGAACCCAGGACCTACCGCATGCTAAGCGGTCATTATACCACTAAACCAATCGCCCATACGATGATCTAGCCCGGACTTGAACCGGAGACCTTCAGTGTGGCAGTGACGAGAGAAGTGAGGCTCTCGAGCTGTTAGACTGACGTGATAACCAACTACACCACCAGACCAGCTGTTGTTGAAGATTGTGTAGGGAAATCCCGCTTTTAGGGCAAGGGCGTGGAGATGGTGGTGGTGGTTAGGTCGGCGTCGAGTGGATGCCGGTGGATGTGGTTGAGGCTGAAGAGCACATCACGCTATGAAGGGCCGCGAGCGCATGAGGCCTGGGGTCGGCTTTCATCAATCAAAGGTCATACTCTGCGTGAGACCAAGTGTGTAAAGTATATCATCATTCATTACATCTGCTTCCGTAGGGTATCATTACAAAGCTCTCCATGAGCCTTCGTCTGAGAGGAGACATCCAAAAACCACAACCAAAGTCAACCATGCACATGCCACACACATTATACATCTTTACCACGCTCCCTTCTGGGGCATGTTATCCGGGTCCAGTTCGAACCCCTTGATGCTCTCCTGCCAATTCTGCCAGTTAAAGTCATCCAAGTTATCCAAGTTATCCATGTTGACGTCCATGGAGTCAACAGGCACATTATTGATGGACGTGAACGGGTCAGACCACAGCCATGGAGGCTGGTTATCCCCCAGAGACGACGCTACCGTAGGTTGGGACTGCATCGCGATGGCCTGCTGCTTTAGTCGCTGATCGTCATCGAGAACCTGTCCGGTGGATATTGCGGGTGACGGCACAGCCGAGGACATCATGGACTGCGACGCTTGCGGCTGCGAGGCGCTGGGCGGGAAGAGTGTGTTATTCGGGTCGGCTGCCATGGACTCCGCCGTCGGGTAGATATACTCCCAGATGTGGTTGGGATTGAACCCGCGCGCCATCATCACCGTGTCGATGAACTCGGGCTCCCTCTGTTGCGGTGCGGACGTCGGGGCCTGGACTGTCGGATTCGCAGGCTGGGAAACCGGACCTCGGGGCGCCGCGCTCTGCTTCTGCTGTACGGGTTGATTTTGCGGTACGTTGTTTGCCGGCGGTGGTAGCGGGCTGGAGCCGCCATCCGTCCGTACCAGATTCCGCCACCGCGTGCGGATCTGCAAGTGCTTGATTTCCATTCCGGGCACCGGTCCAAGTCTGGCCGGGATGGGATTCATACGATCGTCCACATCCAGTTGGCGTGCCGCATCCGGGTCGGCTCTGAGACGGACGATCTCAGCCTCGCGATGCTTCGTGGCCTTTGCGCTTAGCTTCCGCAACGGGACCCATACAGCCATATGATCTGCCATCCTCGATATTTCAGACGGGTCCCTATCGAATCGCATCGTGTTGTTGACGGCCTCCCACCCTCGCTCCGAGGTCGCTGACCACGGCCGACGTCCGCCTTCCATCAGGATGTATGCAATCGCATGCCACTGTCGATAGGTCTGGAAGAGCCACCGCCATTGCTTACAACGGGGATCTGTGTTTAGGATGTAGTTGTATTCAACGATTTCAATGGCCGAGATGAAGAGCCTGTCGCGGATCTCGTTGGACAGTTCGTGGCCGTTGCCGGGGAACAGCATCGGCTGATAGATGACAAGACTCATCTTCGCCATGATAACACGGGCGATCATGGCCGCCATCCAAAAGAGGGGATCGTCGTCGGTGAAGCAATGCTTAAGGAACTTCTCCTCAACTCGGTCGTACACTTCGATCAGCATGCGCTCGCGCTCTTCGAGACTTGACGCGGCGTCCTTTGGACAGACACCAGCCATGGCCGACCCCACAGTGTGTAACCGCCGTGACAACGCGCAGATTTCGTATCTCACCAGCGATACGGCGCAGTCTGTCTTGCCCAGCCGCGATTTCGGAACCTCCGTCATTCCCGGCTCAATGTCTGAATCGTTCAAATTAGAGGGCAGTTCGGTGTCGAACGATCGGTCGATGATGGTGAGATCGCTGCCAAGCTCTTCTGCAGAGCGAAGGTCAAGAGTGCAGATAGCCCACCACAAGCGGCGCCTCATTTCGATCTCGAAGGGAGGAAGGTTAAAGTTCGTTCCATCGCGGTGAATGCCCAATCCTTGCGCGATGCGGATCGCCAATCCAGTCAGCGTCCAGCAGAATCGAGTGTCGTCCTCCCTGCGGACCAGCGTGAGAAACATGACAAAGGCCTGGAGGACCACCATGTCGGAGGTGTTGAGGAAGTTTGCCTTGGCGAGTGCCTGCTCGAGAGCGAAGCGATACTGCGAGAGCATCTCTTCCTTCTTTGATCCAAAGTTTTTCTCCACCTGTGTGCACTGGTTAGTCACGGCCAATTGCATCGGGCCTGGAGATGACACGAACTTACCTCTTCATCTTCCATGGACGTAATCGCTGCGTAGTAGATGGAAAACAGCAGCGCTTCGTTACCAGCGGTCAGCTCGTCGATATTGCGTCGCATGTCGCGGATGAGCTTCTCCATCGTCGGGATGTGCAAGATCTTGAGCAATGGTTCCACATTCTCCTGGTAAACCTGCCACATGAAGGGTATCTGAGATGGCAAGGGATGCAGCTTGCGCAAGTCAACATCGGAAGACCGATATCCTAGGATAAAGGCATGGTGGTCCGTCGCAGCGTCGGTGTCCTGTATTGGGGAGTGGTCTGGCGTGTCCTCGACATCTGAATCATCGGTATCTTGATCCAACGCATGCGTCTCTTCTCGAAGCTCGTCAAGCTATGGCATCCTTGTCAGCACCTGGGGAGCAAAATATGACTTGGGTGACTCACTTCGTCATTGAGCTTGGACCAAAATGCGCTGCTCACGTATCTGCTCGTCTTGCCCTTGTCGTGAAGCACAAGTCGGCCAAACGACCTGCTTATGCCCGCTTGCCTCTCTACAGGCCTCTTGGGTTCTGGGTCCGTCTCCATCCTGTTTGGCGTCACAGCCTCCTTGAAAGCACTCATGACAGCAGCGCCGCTCGCAGTGCTGCCGGCGCGTTCGCAGCTTAGGTCGTTGCCAAACGCCTCGGGCGAGTTCCCTGTGCTAGAGTTCTGGCGGCCGCTATTGCTCCCTGTGCCGCTCTCGACCTCAATCTGGCCGCTGAGCTCCTCCACGATGCCCTCTAATTTGCGCAGGCGCTTCATGAGCTCAACTTCGCGCTCGCTCGAGTTCTTGGGCGGCGCATTCGGATCTTTGGGTCTGGGGCGGCGAGGGGCGCGGCCGGGGGCCGGGTAGATGCACTGGATGACTGCACGACGGCAGTTGCTGCACGGCATTTGCTTGTCGCAGCGGACCTTTCGACGGCGGCAGGTGACGCAGCTTCGGGGATTCAGGGCTGGCTGGCCGGAGGCCGTCATGGCCACAGGTTGATCGGGAGGTATAGAGGTCGCGCCATGGCGGCTGAGGGCAGGGAAGTCGTGTATAGTCGGGGAGTTTGGCGAATGGTGGGGGTTGGCATTCATGGCGTTAGCTGGTGTCGTGGGGTTCGACTGCTGACTTGTCGGCGAAAAGTTGTCCATGGCGTCGTCTGTTCGTCGGCCGTCCGTCGATTGTCTCGGGACGCAGACGTTGTAGAGAAAGTTGTTCGTTTGCAGTGGCGGTTGTAGTCGGAGTAGACAGGCTCACGAAGGTTTGGATTGGGGTTTGAGGGATAGGATTCGACAGAGTGCGGCGGTGGTGACACACACAGTTTGGCGACCAGAGCTGAGAAGGCTGACAAATGGCGGGGGATCGATCCCGCAACTCTTGGCTCCAGCTTTGCCCACCCAGAGACCTGCGGCGTGGCACAAGATTCGAGCCTAGAGCATGTCAGAATCACAGCAGCCTATCCGAAAAGGCGGTAAGCTGTGAGATTGCTTCCTTGGTGTTTGGTCGTTTGGCGTTGGAAGTTGTCGTTCGGAGACTCTTGGATGTTTGTTGGGATTGGTGGGTTGGCTTTGACAAGACAGGCGACCGAAAGGCGCAGCAGCAGCCGTAACAGCAGCAGCAAGGTAAGGTAAGGTAAGGGTAAAGGTAGGTGGGGGTGGGAAGATGGACGGAAGCCAACTTCGGTGCGCACGAATGCCAGTCACCTTCTGTGCGCGGGGATAGTGTAGAACGAAGTGGGAGGGAAAAAAAGCATGGGATCGTGGAACTGGAACAGGGGGGGAGGGGACCGGTCGAGGTCGGAGCTTAGACCGGCAAGCCGGTGGGTGGGGCGGGGCGCCTGCATCGGCCGCGGCCAGCAATGCGACGCTTCCCATTGGCTCTGCTCACCTCGGAAGTGGCCGTGATCAGCTCACCGAAAGACCCCGACGCAAATAACAGACCGGTCCCACGTGAGGTTCGGTGAGGGACCAGTGAAAGCCAGTACCTCCGAGCTTCTCGGCAGAGATCATCTTGTTTACTCGGCGTTACGTTGACACTCGGTATTTGTGGCCACTTTTTTTCACTTGATGTGAATAGTTACAACCAGCTTACGCACGACATCATCGACTACTGGACATAGGTAGGTCGAGTATGGAACACGATCTGGCTTGGGCTCACATGGGTTGGGACGATGAGCACTCGCCGGCGGTCGGTGCACACCAGCCCCGATATCTCCGAGAACGGCGCCCAAGAGTCTCAACTCCCAAGACTCCAACCCAAGCTTTGCAACGGTCTGTGTAAGTCTGCCCATGACGCACAGCGGCAACTCGCGTTGGTGACCGCTTTTCGAAAGACTAATCCTTCAACTGCAGTCAATCAGCCGAACCGTCTTACCATTGCGCAATGGTAAGCTACTCCCCAGTAACTTCTCAGTTAAACAGACACGTTTCCTCCATGTGCTGCTCTCTACACGCTTCCCTAAAGAAAAGGCTTGTTCGGACGTATGCATGGCATGTAAGATTTGATAAAGCACACATGTTCTAGCTACTGTAACATCGATCTTAATTTCGTTTCGCATCATTGCAGATCTCTCAAGAAACCCACGAAGCTGAACATACTTGGCCTGGGTGGCCTTGTCCAATGCATCTGTCTTCCCCGCTTCCGGAGGGGGAACCAGAGGCGAAACACATGCCAGAAAAGCAGTTGACACTGGCAGGATATGCCGAGTATGCATAGTAAACTTTCATATTTCCGCTTCAGAATGCTTGGCACCAAGCAAGCCAGGTCGTTCATATGTGTCGGTGCTTCACCGAACGGTTCACCCCGGTGTGGCTTCGCTTTCGCATTTGTTCAAAGATATCAAAACTCGCTGAATAGCTAACACAAGCTCCTCCTACATGATGAGGAAAGCACTACCGGCGACAACACTGGCCGAAACCATTATCGTCAAGATGGCCGCACCAGCCTTGTCCGCCGTGGTGATCGCCTTGAGGGAATTTGACGACCCCGACCCATCGTCCGTCTTTCCTCCGTTCACATCACCCGTCGAGTTTCCTCCCGTGTTCGCAGTGACAGGCGCCTCAGCCGACCCGACCAGGTTATACATAACCACCTGCAACGAAGTCATCTGCGGTCCCACGCCCACTATCCCATCAAACGTGTCATTCAGCCACGAGAATCCGCACGCCGTTCCCGCGTGGCCCTTGAACCCCGAAGCAGGAGACCCCGAACAGGTCGCCGCCGCCTTCTTCCCGCTCGACAGCAGCAGCGCCGTGATGGTGTCCGCGGTGTGCGCGGCAACTTGCGACGTGGCGGCCAGCCAGCGCGCCAGGTAGCCCTTGAAGCTCTGCGCGTCTTGGCTGCACTGCGCCGTCGGTTCGCAGTAGGCCTCGTAGATGATGTCGTTTTGGACAAATGCCGTCTGCACGTCCGTGAGCATGCCGTCGAGCCGGGTCTTCCACGTATCGCTCTCTGTGATATTGTACATCACCGCCGCGCCGTAGAGGAATATGCCGGCGTTGTAAGACCACTTCGTGCTGTCCGTGGAGCTGGGGCATTTTCCCTCAAAGTGAATGCCGTCGAGTACTTCGTGATCGGATGTGAGCAGCCCGACGTCCGTCTGCCATGTCCAGACCTTCTCTGCCCAGTCGGAGTATGTCGTGTTCCCCGTGTACCGGGCCAGGCGCGCAGCCACGTTGAAGAAGCACCCGTTCGAGATGGAGTTTTTGTAGTCGAAACCGGCGTTCCATGTAAAGATTTGCCATCGCACACCGCCGGCGCAGTTATCCGTGTCCCATCGGCTGATGTACTCGTTAAAGACTGCTTGGACCAGGGCGAGCCACTGTGGTGAGCCTTCTGGCGGGTTCGGGTAGTTGTGTTCGGCGGCGGACATGGCGGCCATTGCCCAGAACCCCTGGTCATCGTTTCCTTCTGTGAGAGTTTGGTTTTGGGGCATGTAATCGTTGTCGTCGCCCACTTGGTGAAGCATAGCTTGTGTGGTGATTGTGTTGTAAGAGTCGTCGCCCGTGAGCCACCAGTAGTCTATCAACGTGCCGAACATGGCACCGGCCTCCCACCCTTGAGTTCGTCAACACAGGCTGCAGACCATGTCGAGTACTTGACTTACAGTAATAGGGATCTGGTAAGTTTCCAGGGGTATCGCCGGTATTGTTGCCAGTGTAGTATTTTACTAGTCCGTATGCGATTGTGCCAGCGGCACTCTTTATTGAGCCTGATGTTCCATCCCGTTAGCCAAGGCAAGATAACTCGGTAACTGCAAGAGACCCTACTTTCATCTGTCCATGTGACATCGATGGCACTGACGCTCGCCAAATTCAACCCCACGGCCAAAGCCGGTAGTCCTAATGTTGGCCTCATCTCGAGTTGTTCAGCTAGTAGCCTGGTAGACGATATAAACGAGCGACAAGAGGACCGAATCGCAACGCCGAGCTATTGGCAAAAGCTTGGCATCAAACAATAATAACGACAGTGACAACGGCAACGACGTAGACATAAACGAAGCCGGAGCCGAAGGGGGCCGCCAAGCTAGGGCGGCAGAGCCTTCGAGCTTAAAGGGCATTCCATCAAAAGGGCTGTGCAAAAACGCGGGTCCATTTTCAATTTTCCCTCTCTCCACAGCTGACGTCTGTAGCTGACGCGCATGTAACCACGTAACCCACTGGCATGATCTCGGGATCCATCTTATTAAGACGATTTCGGCGGTTTCGCACTAACGCTCTAGTTATTCATTTGTTTGGTTCTAGATGCGCTGTTTCTCTAGCGTCAGAGTTCCAAGTATGGGTTGGTTGAGACTGAAACATACATGTAGAGAAATTTGAAGCCGCGAACTCCGGGCTGCCGCAATTGTGCATACGACGCTCACCGGGGTCTGGGGGGAGACTGCCGTGACTGGCGGCTCTAGAGAGAGACGAACCGTAAGGTCCCGGTCGGCTTTCCGTCTTAGCGTGCTGCGGGTGGTGGGGTGATCTTCGTTCGCGATGACGATCCACCCCTATCCAAACTCGAGTTGGTTCCCTCTCCTTTTCGGTCCTTAGCGGGAACGAATTGTGGAAAAGTTGTGGGGGGCTGGTGGACTTACGCGTCTCAGGATGCGATAGGGACTGGCACAACTGGAAAGGAAAAGGGGTGCGAAATCGCCGGTGGTGAACTGAAACAAGGAATAATAAGCCTGTCAACCTGTCTGTGTGTCTATTCCGGGCTGAGCTCTCCTGAACATATTTGGGTCGATGGATTTCCCATGAAAATCATCATTCCTTTGCTTTTGCTTGATCAGGTAATCAAGACTTGCAAAGTTGCATCGTCGCACTACCCAATTCTCAAAAGGCGATTGGGAACTCAAATCCCGAAGGAAAATAATATTAACTTTGCTCTTTTTGCTTCCGAACACCTTGTTTTCACTTTTGCTAAGCCACTTCCTTCCAAAAAAAAAATAAAAAAAAATTGAAAAGGGGAACAACAACGCCGAGAATCTACGAAAAATAGTCCTTGTCTGTCGAAGGCTACATGCATCCCATGGCTCGACATTTGAGTCACTTCAACTGCAAACCGATCGAAATTATTCAATCACTCCTAGTTGAGGTCAAGGAAGTTTTCACCGCCAGTTTAGCTAGGCCCTTGGCCACAACGCGGTTATACCAAGTATTCTGGACACCAGCGTTGCCATACTCGGGAGCTTTGAGATTGAAAAGTGCAGCAAAGGATAGAGACACGAAAGTCATAACTAGGACGTCGAACTTCGTTGCGAAGAAAGTGATGTGGCAACACTCGAATTCGGCCCGTGGAGTTGAGCTGATGACTTGAATGATCTCTGCACTCAGCGTGAGGTATTACCTTAGGTATCATGAAAACAAGGGGTATTGCGCTCATTATTCCACCTATTCGCCTATGAATAATTTTGAGATCCAGTAGAACTAGAAAAGACTGAAGACGGATGCACTGACGCCATCTAGTTGCTGACGGGATACATCGACACTTATCTACCCCGCCCGATGATTCACAATAAGGTCGAGGAGGTTCCTGATAGCTACTGTTTACGGCGAATTTCCAACTTTCCAAGAGTTGTACAGCATCAGTTTAGACAAGCAGCAACTTCTGTGGCAGCATAGTAGACTGCAAGAAGCCGAGCGTCTAATATTCGAATAAGTTCGTGCCGAAGTCTTAAATTGTAGAGAAGACAGACTTAATTAGTCGAGGCTACGTAGGGGCAAGTTTAGGCAACTATGCTCTGTTAGAGTACGTAAGGAATGCCGCTATCATCTCGGTAAACCACATACTAAGGAGCTAAGAAGATCGGGCTTATGATCTTCAAAACAAGAATTTTGCAAGTTGGAAGCTTGTCGGCGAAGGGGCTCAACTTGTGTTAGGGGATCAGTTTTAAGATTATTCAAGGTAACTCGAGAGTTTTATAACACAAGAGCGCGACGTCGTAAATCGTTATCCTGCAGTGTACTGGCGTTGCAACAAGTCAACTTCTCATTCATGACATTAGATGATCAGGCCCTAATCCGAAGGCATTCATTCATCTTTTGAGTTAGGAAGTACGGTCCCCCTGACTTTTGAGGCATTCTTTCCAACGACATGCCGAAAAAGTAAACCGTGATTGAGATCAAGGAATAAAAGGCACGCAATCCCATTCCGTCTAAACCTCCATCCTCCCCAGAGTCTTCGAATCACTCTCCTCCCACGGGTAGGTTTCCTCGATAGAGCGAATCAGCTTCTCGTGCTCCGCGGATCGAGGCTTGATGGAGATCTCAAATGGCTGCGGGTGGCTGATGACGCCAGTGGTAAACTTGATGGCCGGCTCAATGACCTTGCCGTCGACGATAGGCTTGGTGAAGTCATACACGGCAAGTGACTGAGCGATGTTGAGGAAGATAGAGTTATCGGCGAGGATGCGGCCTGGGCAGATTCGGCGGCCGAACCCGAAGACGAACTTGTGAGGGTCTGCCTCAGGTTCATGACCGTCGTTGTGCAGGAAGCGCTCGGGTTTGAAGTTCATCGGGTCAGGGTACCTTTCTGGGTCATGGGTGAACCACCTGCAGACTTGCCTTAGCTGCGTGAACATCTACCTCAACAGCTTGACAGACTCACCAAATATTGGAAAGTACCATGGCTCCTTTCGGAATGAAATACCCTTCGAAGACGTCGTCCTCTGTACTAGAATGGGGCAGGCCCATAGGCCCAATCGGGTGCCAGCGCATGATTTCTTTTACGAGGGCCTCGATGTAAGGAAGATTCTCCCGATCCTTGATAGTCGGCAGCCTTCCACTACCAACAACTCTGTCAATCTCCTCTTGAGCCTTCTTCTGGATATCGGGGTACACCATCATCGCCAAGAAGAAGGATGCGACTGTCGATACAGTCTATAAGAGGTTCAGTATGCAGCATTCATAAGAGTATGGTACTTCAAAAGGTCTGGGTCGAATAGCTCACCGTGTCCGCACCGCCTCCGAAAACAGCCAGCGCCGAGTATTTGTTGTTATGTTGTTCGAAGGACGATTGCGCAGGGGAGTCAAGAAGATTGGCCAGATAGGATGAGTTGTCCTTGCCTTGAGCTATTTGATGCTGGACGAAAGCATACGGCTTATCTCTCGTCTGCTCCATCTGAGCTCTCCATTCCTTTGCGAGTTGTTTAAAACCTGTCCCGGGGATCCAGCTGGGTAGATATCGCACTGCTAGGAATTAGAACAGGCGCTATCTCGGGCACATGCACGGTATGGTTAATACTGACGGAAGGGGAAAACATCAACTAAAAAGGCACCTGGCGTAGCACCCGCCGAGAAGTTGTCCATGGTTTCGGTAATCATCTCGAGGAAAGGATCTTTCTTGAACTGTTCCGCCGTGTAGCCATACGTAATTTTGACAATGAGGGAGCCAGCTTCTCTACAGAACTTCGTTAGCGACCGTCTACGTGGAGGCTTCTGAGCTGATGCATCCTTTCGCTTACTTCTTGATGTGTTCTACGAAGTTTTGCGGGTCATCTAGCAGATGCAGAAGGAGATGTCCGACTTCAGCTTCTTGCCAATCGTTGTATTTCGCCGCGGCTACCTTTGAGCCAAGAATGCGGCCCATGGCCTTACGCTGTGCGCGGAACCGCTCGTCATAGACGGCCATGCCAGTGAGGTGTTCCAGACCGACCCTTTCTTTCTGTCAGAGGTTTCCACAGTCCCGCAAAACGCTTGAGATTCACATACATTTCCCCAATAAAGGTCTGTGATGGTCTTGAGGAATGCTTTAGTGAGCGCTTGTCCAGGAGATCGAAAGCAAGTTGTGGATCGCTAAGAATCACAACAGTCTGACCCATGGTTGTGATTGAACTAATGGGACCTAATACAATCAAGTCAGCTTCGTCTTCCATATCGCAAAATCCCCTTCCACAATGCTGAATAGCATGCCACTAAAGCTCAATGCCAGAACTGACCATATAACTCCTTGTGCTTCAACCAGTGAACATAGTCCAGTTCGCCAGCTTTGGGCAAGTCGTTCACGTTGCCCACAATCGGCAAACCTTTGGGGCCGGGGGGTAGCGGGGGTCGCCCGCCATTCTTCAACTTGTTCAAGACTCTCTCAACAACAAAAGAGATGAGCAGGAGGCCGACGAAGCCGACTGATAGCGAAAATATTTCCATCTTCGCCTGACTGTTAGATGACAGAAGAACAGCAAGGATTTGGGGGAATCCACTGCAGTCAGCAACTTTCTTGCTGCGCATTTGCATCTTAAATACGATTCTTGCATCAAGACCCCTGGACACTAGATTGGCCAGGTTACTGGGTACGCGAGTTGCAATTGCCAGCGTACCACTTAGTCAGTCCGAAGAGTGAGCACTAATAAACCTCGCCAACTCGATTTGGCAGTTAAAGGTTACAGATTCAACTCCATCCCGGCCCGCGATGCAACATCTCGCTGACTGCTTGCGGAGTCTGTCCCACCTTGCTTCGACCTTATTTGTTGGGTGACGAGACACACTCCGGACGCAGGCCTGCAATAGGGCTAAGGTGATGGGTAATGCCTAGACATTGATTCAAAAGCAGCAACTATGGTGCCCCGTGGGGATCTGCGCTACTCTCGGCGAATCACTAGGCTCGGATAGCTGATTAGGTATGACTGGTTGTGCAATTCTCATGCCATTGCCAAGGTCTTCCGCATGCTATTCTGACGTTGCATCCACTGCACACGAAGGTGACAAGGTCAGATTCGCGTAGCACAGAGGGGAACCCTGAAGATTCCATTCTCGGGTGACATACCTGGTTCGCGAGACTTGTGGATAAGCCCGGCATCCATGCTTCAGCCACGCCAATGTTCTGCACAAGGTATTTACCGACGAGTCGAGATGTTGTTGACGCTTGGTAATCCATGATCAGTGATTACGTATGCGGCTTAATATGCATGCGATGTGCTGGGAGTGTGGAAGATGCTTGAGCAACTACATGCCCGTGCGAAGCAACTTGAAGTCACACGTGCACCTGGGATCGCGTTCTCTCGGGGATGGTGGTCGCGACAAGCGAAGTAAGTATGTTTTTTACGTCCCAAAATTGCTCGGTAGTTATTATTAGATAGTTTACTAATACTTATCAGCCTTTGTCATGATGTGTATCGCTATTGGTCTTACCTCTCCAAGCGTCATGTTGACTGATGTCATTTTCTATCGCGAAAAAGGTTCAGCAGTCAATTGCAAGTACCGCAACTCAACTACGACGTGAGATACGTAGGCACTGGCTTGGTACATCCTTACTCAGCGGCGACGGCTATTTGCCACGGAATGGGACAGTACCTCATGCAGAGCTTTGATTGAACCATGTTCTAAAGTTCATGTTGTCATTGCCTTACACAATGCACATTACATACAGGTCGAAACAGTGTCAGAAAGAGCCCGAGGGACGTCTTTTCATGACCTAACTCCTGATTGCCGATCCAACCTCTATTGGTGAAATTGATGGATTGACTGGCACTCAGAGCTTTTCAATCTACATATTACATTGGAAGAGCAAGCGAAAAAAACATCAGCCTTGCAGAACTACCAGCCTCGCGACGCAAGAAAAAGATGGCTAGCATTGCTGAAGGCTGGGATTTAGTACTATTTGATCATTCGCAGGCGGTGACTGAGAGGTGCTGGGAAGACTTGGCGAACCACACACATTCGAGCTGTGTTACCATGTGAGAAAAGCCAAGAAATGAACGGGAGAAAGTCATCCCGCCGGTAAGGCCTGTCATATGACTTTAATCCCTTATACCCCGGTAAGGCTGCAACTCTCCCTATGTCCAGTTCTTTGTGATTAAATCTTGCTTCACCACTAAGATTTACGATTCAGCGATGGACCTTTCGTCGATACCTTTGTACAGTCATGTCCAATTATCCAAGCAGAATGAGATTCGGCTAGTGAGCATTTTACCGGGGTCAGCTTCTGATGTCATACGGACTCAGCTGACCCATATATGCTTGAAAGATTCTGGCAAGAGGCGTAGTCGTAAGCTGTCGATAGAGCAGCTCCGCATCGCCCTCCCGCCAAAGTGGGTGGCCAGAGAAACATTGGATGGGCATGTCATGTTTCGAATGTCTGGCTCAGGCAATCGATGGCAAAGAAGTCATCCCGATGAAAACGTCGAGAGGTGGAGATACGAATCTGACGAAAGCGACCACGAAGTAATCAAGTCCAGTACCTCTGGTGATCGGATTAATTACGAAGCTCTATCATACACATGGGGCTCTGAACAACACCAACAGTGGCTGTTGATTGAGGATGCAAACGAAATGCCCGACGACAACACAAGCAAGCAGCGCAAGATTTTGATCCGAAACAACCTGGCAACGGCTATGCAGCATCTAAGACTCCCCGATAGGCCTAAAAGGCTGTGGATCGACGCTATCTGCATCAATCAGCAGGATAATACCGAAAAGGATCATCAGGTAAGACGCATTGGAACGATCTTCAAGCACGCCGCGAGAGTGATTGGCTTTCTTGGCCCCGAGGACCACAACAGTGGAAGAGCGTTTGAGAGCTTGCGTCAACTTGGAGATCGGGTTGAGATTCTGACGAGCAAAACACGGGGCTGGACACGAGTGCTCTCTCCAGAAGCAGCCGAGAACTCTAAATGGCACCTGAGGGAATCAGATCTTGGCTTCGACGACGCAACCTGGGGTGCGATCTTAGAGCTTCTTTCTCGCGACTATTTTACTCGCGTCTGGATCGTGCAGGAGTGTCATCTCGCAAACGCTCGCGCGCTGCTCCAATGTGGCAACGACATCATCTCCCTGTCTCTCTTCCGTCGGGCCGTGAAGTGCTTGCAAGGCAAGCAGTGGCTCCCATCAGAAAGACTTCGCGAACGGATTCATCTCGTGGAAGAGTTGACTAGACCTTCCTCGGGCCGGCCCCTTCGCGCTATTCTCGACATCACGAGAAACCGCAAGTGTTCGGATCCACGCGACAAGGTGTTCGGGGTTCTTGAGTTGGTGCCACCGAGATTCGCCAACATGATAATGCCGAATTATCATGCACCGGTGGCACAGGTCTACCAAGACACATTCCTAGCCCATTTGAGGCACGTTCATCGATTTGAACTGTTTGACAGATGCTATCGAACGGGGCGAACAATGGAAATGCCATCTTGGGTTCCCGATTTCAACGGCAGAGTCCCCGTGAAGGAGCGCTGTGCATCGCAGTTCGCCTCAGGCCATTCCCAAGCACATTTCAATCACACAGAGCCTAACATACTCAATATCTTGGGAGTTCTTGCGGCAACCGTGACTGAAGTGCGGCCGTCATTCGAAAACAGTTCACTGAGTCCAGCGGACCTTTTGAGTTCATGGAGAACGGCTCGAGTACAACCAGGGAAGACAGCCATTGACGAATCCGGAATTGATCAGGCGATTACACTACGCATGAACTTGTTCAAAGACCGCTACCCCAAACTTCAAATGACTACACTTCAGAAATGGTTGAGTGACGCCTCATCGTTCGGGGTATTAGATGGAGTGCCGACAGGTTCTGCCGTGGAGACGAATACGGAATTCCAGCGCTACTTTGGCCGCACTATTCAACTGTGTGCCGGTCGAGCTTACATACATACGCGTGAAGCTCTGCCAGGACTCGCTCCGTTGGACACGAGAACAGGTATTTCGTTCATCATTCTTGCCGCGCGACGTCAGACGGTGACTTATCGGTGCATAGGCGATGTTATCGTAGTGTTGTTGGGCTGCACTAACCCACTTATACTCCGACCAGGCTCAAGTGGTCAGTATACTCTCATTGGGGAGTGCTTCATGTACGGTCTCAGTGATGCAAATGCATTACTTGGTCCGTTACCAGATTCCTGGACTGTTCAGGCCTTTCCTGGATTTGGTAGAAGACTTGACTTTCGATTCCTCAACCAAGCCACTGACGAGCTGGTGTTAGATGATCCCAGATTGCCGACGCTTTGCGGATGGGAAAGAATATATCATGAGCCAGAAGCAGATGACCCTGAGATCTACGCTTTCTTTCGTAACATAGTGTCCAGCAGCGGGATCAACTCGGATCCTAGAATGGCGCCGGCAGCTTTGATGGATAGGGGCGTCAATCTGAGATATTTTGCGATTTCATAAGCACATGCCTTCGCGGGTTGGTTGAGGTCTTGGGGCTGGCCACGACGCCATCATTATCTCATAGAACCAGAGTATAGACAGTAGAAAATCTTTAGCGAAAAATTTCACGTTCCTTGAGGTTAGAAGTGTTAGAAAATTAGTAGTCGTCTAGGTTAAAGGGGTCAGGAATTATTATTCGCTAGAGTGACTGTGGCTGGATCTCTTGCAGCCGCAACCGCTCTCGACTGAAAACCGAGCACTATTTGGCCATTGCGTTGGTAATAATGTGTCACAAGTTATGGCACAGAATGATGGATTTCCAAATGGGTTAAAGTGGCTTGAAATAAAACATCTAGAATGAAGGAAAGAGAGCAGTCTATGTGCTAAAGAAATGTGCTGATACTGTTCCTGTTTCGTGGCATGATCACTCCGTGTCATGTCTGACAAGATTTTTCAAGTCAATATCCCCAGCCCTGCACAATTTACTTCCAGGCCGCTTGAAGATATCAGAAAGCCCAGGGTAGCCAGAGTACCAGCAGGTGCAAGTTTCCTTGAGAGGGTGTGGGCAGTACACACTGCTCATCTGGACCAACGAGGCAAGCAATGAGGCAATACGACTGGTATTGTTGGTTGGTTGGTGATGTGGTGGTCAAGGTGAAAGGTGGCTGCGGTGGGCTGGATCAACCAGGAAGTGGATCGGGCAGCTGGTGCCTGGGGCACCAGCCACTGCCTCAGGTATCCACAGTCCCACAGAGGGCTCTCCTCAGTCGCAGCTATGTCTTCGCACTCCAACACCCCCTCATCCGTATATCACTCATCGAAAGGATCAGTCTTCCCGGCGAACACACCATATACTCGGCATCCGTCAGCCAGTGTGCCCCCTTTCTTAGCAGTGACGGTATCCGTTCCGCAGCCATTCAAGATCGTTCGAAGGCGAATCTTACAGTGGTCTCGTTTCTCGCCGCTGGTCGTTCCGAGGCCGAATTGAAAAGATCCAGTACATGAAGTGCGAGAAAACATGAGCCCTAACCATAGCTTGTTCGTGCTGTCCATGGCGTACCCCTGAGCAACACCCGCTAGCTTCTGGCGGCCATCGCTTGTCTGTTCAAGCCCAAGGGAGATGGGAGAAACAATGACTTTGTCCCAATACCCCTCGTTGCTGCAGAAGTCATGGATATGTGTTTCAGCTAGTGACTGTGCAAATCCTGGACCTTCGTAGGCACAATTGGGACTGGGAATATCGCCGGGAGGTGGCGTGGAAATGGCCGGAGGCGGGTTCTTCATCCCCTCCAACGCTACATCGAACCGTAAGGCTGACTCTTGAGATGTCCAGGTCGCCTCGCTGAAGTTCATGTGACCTAAGTTGACAGGAAAGACGGTCTCCATTTGCGCAAGTTGGCCGGAGCTCAGTCTGTCAATAGCGCTTAGATCTTTATAACCTAGAGGTTGTGGAAAGTAGTTGGTGACTTGATAGAAGTAGAGGCTGTTGGCTAGCCACGTGCAGCTATCCGAGTTGGTGCTCGATTGTTGGCCTCCCCCGCCCTGATTCAGGGGTCGTTGAGCAAGCTTGTGAACCATTGCTGGGCCGTATACCCAGCGGCCAGTCTCGGTTTCTTCCACGTGGTGGTCGATGACTAGTTGTAGAGTCTGATTAGAAATACACTCCAAAACATGGATTCAAAGTTGCGCTCACTCTTGGGCTGGCCAATAATCTCCAGATGCATCATCTCGTGGAGAAGATACTGGCCGGTATTCATCTGCCATTCCGCATGGGCTGCATGTTTAGTTTCACCATTAGCCAATTCGCTTTCTATGAGGTCGAACTTTTCGTCCAGTGTATTCAGTCCAAAGTAGATAGGACAGAGCGTGATATGTTGGTATTTCCAACCACAGTACCATGTTTGTGTCCACGCGTACCCGCCGACGCTTTTCCCGTCAACTTGTCGGCCACACTTGTTTCGAGTGTCCTTGCAGCTGAGTATTATATCGAATTCTTTTTTGTCTTTAAAAATTTGGGCTCTTTCGAAATTTTCTGGAAACAAGGCGTCATCGTTGTTCAATCTGCACGTAGATATTTGACACTGAATCATCAAGCAAGATTGTCGAAGCCTGAAAGGGGTTATTTACTCGTGATGCGATCCTGGACGCTCGAGAAGTCTGGGCCGATATATGCTCGCCAGGTAGCGATGTGTTTTCCACTTGTAGGAGTTTTGGCGAACCTAGCCAGAGTATATGCATCCCAGGCTGCTGTAGCAAGTACTTGCTGCTGCTTCGATTCACAACTCCCGTCCTCAAACTTCAGGCTGCCACCCCCGAAGGCCACAACCCCTTCTGAATGGGATGAAGCTGCCTCAACACATTCTTTGGATGGAACGCTCCACATATCATTGCAGACAGAAGGGAGTGTGGGAATTACTTGTTCAAATGGATTGCCTCCATCCGGTCGCCAGCGGTCTAGTGACGCCGGCGGGGTCTTTGGATCGAAAGCTGTTGGATCAGACGCGACCGGCTCGTCGACATAGTCGATCATGTTGACTACGGCAAAATCCGTGCCGTTCCTGCGAGCACCGGATGCTGGGGCTGCCCACACCAGGGTAGCCGCATGGTGAAGTATAATAAGAGGTGCGAAGATCATGATAGAATGTACTGAGTCGTCTTTGGTCTCTGCCGAGAGATGCTGATAGGGGCCAGCAAGCCCGAGCATCTCGAACGCATGTCTTATAACTTTTCGACGTAAGGTACTGTTCACTCAGTTCCCTCTCAGCAATGTTCTGCAGCTCCTCAGGGGCGATTCGGTCATATTGATGCCCCCGAAAGTTTGACCTTGATCAGTGCCTCAGCCGCCCGTTTTTGGGGCATCTTGATGCTCCATGTGAGGAAGGCGGGATTGATTCCAGCAAACCTGACGCCGCCAACCCACGGAAGTTGGGGTCGCATCGGGTTTGGCAAAGATCGCAAAGCCCTGGATGGTAAAAACCTGCCGTCAGAATCTGAACAAGACATGCCCATCTTCTTGGCCGGGTGCCGGGTCTGGGGCCGAGCCCTCGGGGTCCGTCGGGGGTCCAATGGGTCTTTGGGGTCCCGTTGGTGCCAACCCGGTGCGGAGACGCGACATCGACTGTAGATAAAGTTGAGAACAATGGGCACCGCAGCCATCTACTATTCAAATGGATCTTTCATAGAAGTCGGCTCAATCGAGGGTAACAAACACTACAAGGCCTTCATGCGGCGCATGACATGCGCAGCAGCAAACCGCCTTACGCTACACCTGACTTGGCCATATGCCGGTTCATCCCTCCAAGCTTCCAGGGAATTTTCAACGTTTGCACCCCGCCAGCCGCCATTGCCAGCACCGAGATCCTCCTACACGCTCTTCAGTCTTCCGTTGCTGCACACCTGGGCACATCCTTCTGCTACGCAGAGCTGATACTGCACGATCCTTCCCAAGGAGACGGATATCAGCGAGATGGTGTGCAGGAATCACTGAAGCGCATCGGCCTCCGTCAAGCAATGAAAGGCGTACCGGCCCTGCCGGCTTCCAGTCTCGCTGTTCATGCCAACATCCAATTCCCAATTCCCAGGACAGATATACCTCAAGCGGCGCTGTCGATAGAATTCAGTCGTTGGGGGATGAGCACCGCGGTTTTCTGCGTGGATGAGCTGGTTCTCGAGGAGCAGCGTCACAAAACCATTGCATTCTCCGACGAGAAGAACGCGAGTGGCGCAGACGACAGCCCAGAGGAGGATGCCGCGAGACTAGCGGAAGCGAGCGAGGCGCTGCGCCGTATCTCCACACCGCCCCTGGGATCGTGCTCTGGTGTTGGCGACATGCTGGATGAGATCCAAGTCCTAATCCTCCACGGTGATTCGGTCCGAGATGCTGGCTTCGTGGAGTTGTTGATAGACCTATTTGGGAGTAGGCTGGTTGAAGAGGCGTATGATTTTGACCCTATCTTCGCACCTGCAGTGGCAGGAGCTAGAGCATCCCACGAGAACATGGATCTGATCAATTTTGAGGAGCCTGCTGCGTTTGGATGTCGTTGGATGTCCAAGTTGTACCGTGATCGGAACCAAGAGTTGTAGGAATGATTGAGATTGGCGCTTGGCAAGCATGCGATTACTCATTATATAAAGATAATCATCGTCGCGAGTCTGCTCTTTGAGTAAATCACTTTTGATTTTGTTTCCCCCCTCTATGATATCTTAATTAGTGTGGAGGTCTCTTCGAGAAACACGGCGCAATACAGAAGTACGTGAACTTACAACACAGACAGCGTGATATCGCCCTTGATCTTTGCTTTAAGATCAATGTCGACGTCCAAATTCATATCCAGCTTCACCGAAGGCGCCCCACTACTGCTCTTGTTCTGCACTTGTCGATTCTGTTGGTTTTGGGGTGCAACCTGCTGTTGCCCAACTTGTCCTTGTTGCTTGGCTGGATCATGTCGCTTACTCCTTGATCTTCGCGTCACGTACCTGACTCCATCGCGCTGCGTGCTAGATTCCGACGTGGATGCTGAAGCATTAGGATTTAACCTCGGAGTTTCCTTCTCAATCTTCTCTTCGGTCTCAGTCTTGTGCGCGGGTGCCTCCTTTTGCAACTGTTGCCGCGCTGGTTGTCTACGACCTTCTCGATCCATCTGATCTGCCTCGCTGTACGGTGGTGTCGGGTCTGACTTATTTTCGCTGGCTTGTGCTGGCATGTTGAGCTAGGACGAGATCTGAGTTATTGATGCGTTTGCGTCGTGCTGAGATCTTGCGGTTCTCTAAGCTAGCGTCGTTTCGAGCTTCGAAGTGCGTTGCAGGTCAATGGTAAACATTCAGACTCGTTTACTCATAGACAAAGCATGTAGTCTGCCGTCTAAAGTTCTAGAATGTGTCTAGGATGACGTAATCCTGCGAAGCTTGCCCATCATTCGCAGTTGAGCCGCGTGGGGACGTGTCGACTGAGGCCCATGTCGTCATGACATCACTCTCCCCTCTCGAAATTCGTAGCGGGGAACTGGAGCTGACCTTCATGAAGGCCTAAAACATTTGGTATCCGAGCTCACTTGGGGTAAATGATGTTAACAAAGTTCAAATTGCAGCTTTCAGACTAACTACTTGACATTGAATCTTTAGAGTTTCTACATACTTGCTACAAGAACTGAAAGAGCGTCAGTATCGGGTGTCGGTCGGAGTGCGGCAACCGGACCGGATGCAACTCGGAAGGCCTGTCCATCACGCACCCAGCATAGGAGCTCCCGGGATCGCTCGTGCAGTTATAAGTTGAAGCCTTCCTCGGTATAGCTGATTATTCAGACGTAAGTCTGGGGCGTCATACTGTTGATCTCGTCTGAGCAGAAAGTTGTAATTCTACCGATCTCCCTTCGACAAGGCGGATAACTCCTCGCTGATGGAACGGACGAAGTTGAGATGAAGCCAACGATCTCAATTTGCACAATTGACATGGCTCGGTGTGTATCCCATCGAGTGCTGCAAGGCGACAGTACATTGAGATGCGGGGGAGCAGCCAATCGGGCCACTTCGGGCCCCTTTTTCCAACCAACCAACGTAATTGATAATAGATACTTCCAATTACTAGAGATTCTGCGTATGAAATCGGTACCAGCAATCTTCTGAGTTACAGAGAGCTACATCGCACTCGAGGCAGCCCATCCTCGTGTACTTCCCAGGGATACCGGGCTCAACCTCCGGAGGCTCGCGGGGCCGAACAGTGGCATTATCACATTGCTCCGGCGTACAGTCGGCAGTGCAGGCGGCGGCGAGGTCCTCGGGCAGCAGGGCAAAGATACACGACTTCGCCGAGCCCGTGGAACGGCCAGATCCGTCAGAATCGTCAGAATCCATTAATTGAGTATTGGTAATGATGGATTTGGTAGATGTACCGGAGTGGAAATCATAGGGGCAACTCAAGCAGTGGATGTACCAGATGCGGTGCGGGGTAAAAGGGGGCCCGTTATGTGGAGCCAATGTACTGTCGCCTTGCAGCACTCGATGGGATAGGCTGCGTATTTCTCTGGTCAACTTGACTTTTCCTGGACGCTCTCCTCTTCACCTATTGCCAGTACATTGATGCGCAACAGAGCCAAAGATGGGGGCAATGTTCACGCCTGGCAGGCGGGAACTGATTGGCATTCAGCAAATTATTATCTCGCTCCTCATTACAGTAAAACGTGAACGGAAACTTCATTCGGATGAGACACCATTTTCTTCGTCTCTAGATGTGCGAGCTCGCCGAGAGAATATTTCTTACATCGATCCAAATTTGTGGACCTCGAAGCTGATAGCGTAGATAGCAAAATTGGAAACATCTTGGAATAAGTCAAACCCCCCACTTCCTGGCACCCCCCTGTTTCTGGCACCACAAAAACGATGGGATCACAACCCGACCTCCTCATTACTATTAACTATTGATCCTCAACCACACCCACTACAATACAGCTGCCAGCCTCACTAGGGCATTCAGAGTCGCTGGATTCAGCCGTGATAACCTCCTTTTCACCCGCTTCGATTTGAGCCCGATGGATATCCCTGATGTTCGCGAACTTCGTGTTGGGATCGATTTGAACAGTCTTCCTCTTCCTCACTGCAGCGTTGGTAACTTGAGCCCTCAGGTGAGCTAGTTGCTGCTGGGCAGCTGCCAGTTGCCAGGCCTGCTCTGTGAAGCCTTTTTTCACCTTCCTGAATAGCAGCCGTTGAGTGCTGGTATCATTGTCGAGTTGGGTGTATAAGTGCAGTTGACCGCTGAGCTCTGCCAGCTTCCTGGGTGTCGACCAGACCACTGCAGAGGAGGCAGAATCCCATGGCTCAACAGGGGTAGTTTGTTGACCATTATGGCATCGCTTTCTGCCCTGACTAGTTGGTTTGGGTGTGGTGGGCTTAGCAGGAGGCTCAGGTAGTACCATAGGGTTCATCAGGGGCTTAACCATCGCCACAGGGTGTAGACCAGTCCACTTCCAACCACTTCTGATGTTCGAGACTGATAGACCAGCAAGTCGAGCCTTTCTGGTAACAGTCCAGGAAGTTCCTTTTACCTATAATGGTAGAGTCGTTCCATTGAGACAAGTAACCGAGCTCCTTCCGATAGGCTGACTTAACAGGGCTGAAGACAGACTGGTCAAGAGGCTGGAGGACATGAGAGGAGTGTGGTGGTAAGAACAGTAAATGGATATTGTTAATATAGCAATTCCACATGAAGTCTGTCGTCGTATGACTCCCATGCCCATCCACAATCAGCAGTCGAGCCTCCCCCTCAGCCTCAGGCATAGTCTGTGGGATGAACACCTTCTCTAACCATTCAATGGCAGTTAAGTCTGTAGTCCAGCCATTATCTGTTGCTGTGAACTCCCACCCATCGTATGGAACGAGATGTAATGGAAACCACTGCTGTTGGACTGTCTTCCCCTTGAAAATGATAAGAGGACGAAGTGCCCTACCCAAGGCTGAGATACACTCAATGATAGAGACCCATGCCCTCGACCCAGGTTGTTTCTTGCGAACAGACGTCGTCTCAGCCATACCCAGCACTAACCCATTAGCTCCCTGACCCTCGAGGATGCCAGTCTCATCCATATTATATCTGTTGGCTGGTTTGATGTCCTTGATCTCAGGGATAGCGAGGAACTTAAACCAGTTCCTAATGACCTCAGTAGATGCCCCATTAACGCGTCTAGAATCGATAGAACGACTTCTCTGAACCTTAATGATAGGGTTCCTTCTCACAAAGGCATAGATCCAGCCTTTTCCCAGTGGTTTGGTATCCCCAGCAGCAGCCAGAACTCGCTCTGCGAATTCCTTCACCTATTGGTGCGTTGGTGCGAGGCCCAGCGAAGCCTGAATGCGAACCCATTGTGCCAGCTTACTCTCCTGGTCAGGAGACAGCCTCTGCCAGTCAGCAAAAGCCACTTTCCTAGTCTGACCACCTTGGAGACGTAGTTGGAGGGTTGATCGTGGTATCCCATACTCCAATGAGGCTCTCTTTTGACTCTTGCCGTTTGAGATGTCCTCGAGAGCCTGACGAAGCTGATCTTCGGTATATTGAGGCATTAGATATAGAAGAAGGTATGTGCAAAAGATGAGCCCATTTGGACGCGAATTGAAAATGTTGTGATAAAAGGAGGTTGGGGGTGGGCATTGGGTTGTGGTGGATTTTCGCGTTTTTGTGGGTGCCAGAAACAGGGGGGTGCCAGGAAGTGGGGGGTTTGACTTACCTGTCGCAGTAGCCGAGGCCTGCGACGCTCCAGACCATAAGACCTAGGATACAAGTCTGTCGCCTGAGATCTGCGATTCAGCAAGTGATGAACAAAGCTGCCCTCCGAATGAGAGAGCTTTGAGCCATGTTTAAGGCTCAAGCAACCGCAGCTTCGACAGACTTCGGCTAAAAGGGAGGCTCATAAAATGCCGGAACACAACGATGGACGTAGTGATACTTGACTGCAGGGAGAACTTCATTGGCAGAACTCAGCACATAGATCGATGCTGTTGAAAAGCTAGCATTCCTGTCTCGAGCATCGCATAACGACCTTATTTCGTCCTACAAAACTGGAGATGAGTCTTTCGTAACGGGGGAATATATTTCAAACAATGAGAAGACGCGTAACGCGGGATTGGCACGGCGTGTGATGGTTGCATGGAGCATACTATGGAAAAGATCTTTGGTAACGTGGGATGGACCGTTCAGGTTGCAGCAGTCGGGTCTCGAATCATCGAAAGACCCGGTGTGCCATCTGGCTACGTGATGGCATGGCCTTTATTGGCAGTCAGCCACGGAGGAAATTGCCGGAATTGAGGTTCCGATTATGAAATTGTTGTCAGACAGTCAAAGTTGTCAGCATTCACCCCCACGATAGTCTAACTGATGGTGGGCCGATGTCGCAAGTGGGCACGGCAACATCCTTGTGCTGCTTGTTGGCTGGCAATGGGCATCCAGGCATAGTATTACTGGCACCTCGGCGGCTCTTGCGTCGGTGGAAGTCGGAAGAGAGTCTGCACCAGGCAAACTGAGCCTGGCGGCCGAACAACTAAGGTAAGGTAGCTCAAGGATCAATGCTAGCGGCGGCCGACTGTGGAATCGTGTGAACTAGATTGCCAGAGAAGAGATTTCCATCCCAACTCAATGTCCTCTAATCGTACTTACGGGCGGATCATCCCTCAAAGATCTGTGGATCGGGGATAGCTCGTTGAGTGAAAGATGTAGCCTGGAGCTACGAAGGGTGGAAACCGTGGCAATAATGTGGCGCCACTAGTAGAGGTGGTCCTCCTACGGATACGGACGGTTTGGTATGCTTGGCCCAGCAGTTCGGTCGCGTGGTGGGAAACCGGAGCTGCGAAGGGGTCCATTCTCCCACGTTGGAGTCTCGCCGCTCCCATGTAGTCTTGATGAGATTGCGAGAAAAGGCTACACGACGGTCGTGCCCTTGGAAAAGAATGGTCCAGATGTCTTACGCTTAGCATCATGTGGCGTTCCAGTTCGAGTCTACCGTCATTGCCGCAGACGCCATTCACGGGCGGTAACTACTCGGTCGGAATCCGAGCAGTGAAACGGAGGCTCATCCAAGTCTAAGACACCGTTCACGCAGCCAGACGTCAAGTATCTGTAGACTAAGTGGAAGTGCCGTAGAAGGCGCAAAGGAATGTCATTGGCGCATATGCGGCCTGCTGGCGAGATTCAAGGCAAAGGTATCTGCTAGGTGGTCAACCGCGAACCCTACCAGAATCTTGATGTTTCTCGCCTGCGGCACAGCCGAGAGCCGGCGGGGCACCCTCAATAAGGATGCCCGTAAGCTTGAAGGGCCGATATTCGGGTTTCTTATCCAGCCGCGGCAAGGAAAACAGTTGTCGGGATGCGCACTGGGCCGAGACCAAACATTTCTCAAGTCTGAACAATGGATATGTATTGGTAGAAGAAGGCCGAGAACGAAAGACTCGTGCTGGTGGATGCAACTCGATTGCAACGCGGCAGCATCGGAACGGGAAGTTTGCGCCAAGAGCAACTCTAAATATGGTGACAGGACGGGATGGAGAGTTGCATATTGGAAGCCATGGCCAAGGCTGGGCAACTAGGTCATTTTTGGCCGTGAAGCTGGCAGAATGCTACACAGATCGGACCACGATGCAACGGTGGTGGCCCCAGGTACGCGGATGCAAGCAAGCAATTACGCAAGCAAGGTGGCAGGCTGGCAGCGCGTGTCCAGCCCAGGATGGAGAGGTCGTTGTTCTCCAGCCCTATGTTGCAGAGTGGAACTTCCGCGGAAGAGGGCAATCGGAATGAGCAATCGTAGGCTGTTGTGCTGGGGCCTGGGGGCGGCAAGGTGACAGGGTGACAGGCCGAAGAGTCGAGAAAATGGAATCTGTGTGTCACCGGGCGACGAGATGGGAATAGGTGCAAGTTGAAAGTGCCAATCGAGGTGAAGTCTTTCCCCAGGCAGCAAGATGATCTGATAAGATTGTAAAAGCGGGGCGACATCTGATAAAAATTTGCCTCGGCGCCATTGGGAACGGCCCCACAGCCTAAAATGACACCACAGGCGATGGACCAACCAATGGCCAGCATTTGAGGACCTCCTTCCCAGTGAACGGGTGGGCAAGAGTGGGGTTCTTTCGGTTCCTTCTGCCTTGGTGTTGTTGTTCCTGCCGACCTGAAGACATTCTTCCTTCCTGGCACGGTTTGGCACGCTGCCATTGTTGGCATCCACGCATCATTCCTTCCTTCCCGTTCCCGACCAAACCGTCCTCCAGTCGGGCGTGGCAGGCACCATGGGTGTGTCAAAGGCAGTGGCACCTTCCGGGTTGCTAAACTGGAAGGAGTGACATGTTTGATGTACTCGTCCCCTCTTTCCCTCCGCTCACTGTCCACTTGCGTCGAGTGACTGGCTGTTTCTCTCCTTTGCACCTCGGCCCTGGTCATGCTTGAAGTCAAGCTTTTCTTCATCCTTAAATCTCTCGCCGAATCGCGACAAATTGTCCGGCAGCGAGGACGACCATCGGGCCCCGCTTCCTGGAGGGCAAAAGAACTTCTGTATCTCCCCGACGGCCTACGATGTCTCTCGAGTCCAGAGTCCAGAGCATGGTCCCTAATCGACCCGAATGGATCTATGAATGTGTTTCCGGAGAGAAAGAAGTATAGAGACACAGGCCGATACACTACCTAGACGGCCCGGCGATTCATACAAGGCGACAAACGCAAACATCTCGCGACTAATAATCCTACTTCCACCACCCGCCGTACTTTGCTCCTCGGGTCTCGCCACGGGCAGAACGCCATGAAAGGCTCGTCGCGCGACGATCTCTGCCTCCAAGATCCGCTAGCACAGCTTCTGCCTCATCCCGCCGATGCGCGCCCCAAGACATTCGACAGATACTCAGGGCCACGCGAAGTGGTTTCCGACCAAGCTGACATGTGAGGCCCTCCACCGCCGCCAAGATGCGACGACTAGTGAACCGACTCTGGTAGCCGAGCTGCAGCTAGAGCTTTATTCGGCGCATCGGCTCACTTGACTGCCACCCCACCACCGATTCACACACCGGTCGCCTGCGCGATCCTGTGCAGCCGCCTGTTCTGCCCGTTGGAACCCAAGGTCCCAAGCAAAGAATACAACCTAGAACCCTTCCCTTCCGAACGTCTTCCAGGGGGTGGCTTCCCTGGATCCCCACATGGTCCGAGTCGCCCAACGATCCGGGCCAAGACAGCTCGGGTAACCTGGACGCCATTTCGTAATTCTGTGCCCACGATTTCCCGTAAACGCTGCGACCGAGCCAACCAGAGCTGTTCGAGTGGATTGTTGGCCAGCTTTTGCCTGCCTTGGGCCTTTCCAACACTCTGTCCCACGCGGGCAAAGTCACTCTAGGCCACCGCTGGCTCTTACATCCCGTGAATCTCTCCACCACCCAAGAATCCACTCGGGGTTAAAGGTTCTTTTGCTCTTGGTGGACACACAACTACACGAACAAAGTGGTACTAGTCCTGCATGAGGGTGGAGAGCTAGCTCTGACCTTACACTAGTGGTGGCACCCGTCAACCATCCTTTGCCTTGCCTTCGCCGAGCCGATGGCGGTTGCACGACTATTCAGCCAGGTCGCGCAGCTTTTGGCGTGTGATACTTAGACCCAGTCTCTGCCCGTCCTACTAAAGCTCTTGTGCCCCGGAACCAAGCTCTCTTCGACAACAGAAGACACCCTTTTCTGTTGCTCTTAACGCCTCTGAGCCTGGCCGCTGGCAATATCAACCGTCCAGCATAGCCAGACGTACGAACGACATAATCATGGGCTTGTTTTCCAAGAAAGCTCCTGTTGAGGAGCAGGTGGTTGCTGAACCTACCGGAGCTCCCCATTACGATGAGAAGACGACGGGCGAGCATCCCGGCGATAGATCAAGCGATGACGAGCCAATTTCAAAGGACCTTCAGGCCGGTGTCGCCAAGGTCGAGGCCATGACAACCGTCTGGACCAAGCGCGATCTTATCATTGCCTACATCCTGTAAGTCAATTCTGCACTGCACAGATAGGGACTGGAAGATCGCTGGACGATAGCTGACTGCTCGTGAAGCATCTGGCTGTTCTATGTTGTTACCTCTATCCAGGAGGTCTCGATGCGCGTCCTCTCCCCCTTTGTCACCAGTTCTTTCGCCATGCACTCCTTGACAGCCACTACTGGCGTCATGTCCACCCTCATTGCCGGCCTGATCAAGCTGCCGCTTGCCAAGATTCTCGACACATGGGGCCGTCCTCAAGGTCTCGGTATAATGCTCATCTGCTGGATTCTCGGCTTCATCATGATGGCTGCTTGCAATGGCGTTGAGACATATGCCGCTGCGCAGGTTTTCTACTCTGTCGGGTAAGTTTTGAGCTCCAAAGATTGTCAAGTTTCCATATTCGACAAGTTCTAACAGCCATCAGATCTCAGGGTATTTCCTACTGCATTACCATCTTCATTGCCGATACCTCTACTCTGAAGAGCAGAGCCCTGATGCTCTCGTTCGCAACAACACCCTACATCTTCATTACCTGGGCAGCTGGCCCCATCACCGACAGTATCCTTAGAGAGGACGGCATCGGCTGGCGTTGGGGTCTTGGCATGTGGGCTATCGTTGCCCCCGTCGTCATCGGACCCCTTGTTCTCCTTTTCCTCTGGAACCAGCACAAGGCGAAGAAGATGGGTGTCATCGACAGCCGCGGATCCATCAAGAACATCTCTGGCGCCAAGGTTCTCAAGTTCCTTATTGATGTTGATGTTCTCGGTATCCTGATTCTCGCTGCCGGCATGGCCCTGTTCTTGCTGCCGTTCAACATCTACTCCTACCAGTCCGACGGCTGGCGCTCTCCCATGATTATCGCCTTCATCATCGTTGGTTTCTTCTTGATCATCGGCTTCGTTGTCTATGAGAAGTTCTTCGCCCCCGTCACCTTCATCCCCTTTTCGCTCCTGATGGACAGGACCGTCTTCTTTGGTGGCATGATGTTCGTCTTCGTCTTCTTCAACTCTGCTGTCTGGGGATCCTTCTTTACCTCCATGCTCATGGTTGTCTGGAACACGTCCACCTCCCAGACCACCTACATTAGCAACATTTACCGCACGGGCTCCTGCTTCTTCTCCATCATCATCTCCTGGCTCATCTACCGCACCGGACGCTTTAAGCCATTCGCCCTCTTCTTCTGTATCCCTCTTATGATGCTCGGTGTCGGTCTCATGATCCACTTCCGCCAGCCTGACCAACCCCTCGGCTACATCATCATGACTCAGATCTTTGGTATGTTACTTGACCCTAAAGCTATTGACGATTATTGCTAACATCACGTACAGTTGCATTTGCCGGTGGACCTACTGTCATCTGTGGAGAAATGGCCATGCTCAGTCCCTCCGATCACGCACACGTCGCCGTCATCATGGCCATCCTGGACCTCTTTGGTAGCATCGGCTCCACCGTTGGTTACACCGTCGCCACTGCCATCTGGACCGGTACCTTCAGAAAGAACATTGTCAAGTACACCCCTGCTGGCACTCCCGTTGACACCATCTACGGCGACATCTACCAGCAGCTTAGCTATGAGGTCGGTACTCCTGAGCGCATTGGCATCCAGCGCGCCTACGGTGACTCGCAACGCATTATGCTCATCACGAGTATCTGCCTGTTGGTTGGCGCTCTCGGCTCCGTTGCCATGTGGCGCAACCTCAACGTCAAGAAGATCAAGCAAGTGCGCGGAAACGTTGTTTAAAGAGTAGTTGATTATGATGATACCCCGCATAGCCTTGCTCTATGACATAAAAGCGATTATTTCTTCCTGTGGTTGATTCACAACTAGGGTTACCCATTTTCGTGCCCTTCATTGATTTTAATTTACCAGGCATATAGTATGCCATTTAATAAACTTGGATTTCGCCCTCCACTCTGACTGTCGGACACCTTGTCCTTTCTTCGATGAGCTTAAGGCATAAAGGTTTAAAGGGTCTCTTGCTACTTGCTTATGTAGTTCTGAATGTCAAAGTCGAATTCCATGACGCCCTCAACTGTCTTTATGAAGATCCTTCCTCATCACGCCCTTCAAGCTCTCCTCCGAGATGTTGATGTACTTATCAGGCGAGACACTATCCTCAAAAGGCACTCTCAACCACTCGTCCGCCTGCGCAATCTTACCCCCCTTCAACTTCAGATCAATGACACCCGAATACTCAAACGGTAACCCCGTCGCCTTCCGCCGCCCCAAGTCGTTCACGAAAACCCCCTTGTTGACAGTGCGGAAGCTGCAGTACCCGTTGCCGTTGTCATCCATCTCGGCCCAGTAGACGGGGTACTGCTTGTCGAGGTAGACTTCAAAGTCCTTGTGCGCGCCGTTCCAGTGTTTATGGTGCCGTTCGAGGAATGCGTAGGGGACGTGGATTTGGGCACCGTGGTCTGTCATGAAGGAGTCCGGGGTGAAGAGAGCTAGGAGGGGGGAAGGGTCGCGGGCGGCCCAGGCGCGGCAGTAGATTGTGGGGAGGGATTCGAGGTCTTTTGGGGGTGTGTTGGCCATTTTTCTTGCGATTGAGATATTGGCTAGTTGAGTCGACGGGGTTAGAGTTTATTGTCGGGGAGAAAATATATTTGAGCTTAGATGGCTAGATAGGGGATTCAAGGTTATTTGACAGAACCGTGTCTGACCTTTTCTTTCCCCCTTTGCGAGCAGGAACGAACCCATCTTTATCCTCGTTCGGAAACACAGGCTGGTGGCGGGATGGTGGTTGGGGAAGCTCCGTCATGAACGTGATTGAAGATGGAATGAAACCGGAGGCGTGGTGCTGATCGGACGAAGAACGGGTGTGACGTGATGCGTTCCATGCGGCTTGCCGGGGGCACGGAGCGGAGGTCTCGGAGATGTGTGGGGAATGGGACCGGGATAGGGAAGTATGTTTCCTGCCCAATCTTACAAGCCTGATGTAGGTAGGGTAGCGTGCTCTCCTCCGTAGTGTCGTTCCGGTTGATCTGCCACGTGGACGCAGTCGCGAGGTTCTAGCTCGAGGTAACGCCAGATACTTACCCCTATTTTCTCGCACTCGATGGGCACTTCTCGAATCTTAAATCAAGGTCAACAACGGGGACAGGCTCGGATTCTGATATCACTGGCATAAAACCCCCGAACTGGTAGTATACTGTCTTTATCTCGCGCTTCATAGGACACGTCTAGGCGTCCTTACGCTTCTCTGTCCAAGACCTCTATGTCCTGAAGCGCAATCCATTCAGTGACCTGCGGAGCGATAAGAAGCTGCTTAGAGAAGTTGTCTGAGCAACGCTGGGAAAAGCGCAATGCGATGCCGTAGCCGTGCGAATAGCTGATGAGAGTTGGAGGTGCTCCCAATCCTCGTTTATAGTTCAGGCGTTCGTTGTTGATGGGTGTGCTTTGCTTGAGGCGCCGTCGCTAAGAAGCTCAAAGTGCAACACTTTGCGGTTGGTTTAGAGGTGTTGATCAAGGCCGCTCCCGGGGTGAGGTCAATAGGATGCTGATAGACCTCAGCCGATGGATCGGATGACTGCAAGGGAGGCAGATTCGAGAATGAGGTAGCTGGAGCGGATGCCGGCCTAAGGGTAGCGACCATGGCATCTTGGGACGAAGTTTGCGGTGCGTGAATTGTGAGGGTTTAACATGGAATTGTTATCAAGAGAGTTTGCGTACTGGGGTCTATCTGGTCTCCTGTTTCTTCGCCTGAAGGCATAGAAGTTGATGCCAGAGTGTCTGACAGCAAAGCTTCAATTTATGAAGTACTTAGTGTTAGACATATTGACAACACTAAAATCTGACACTATTTCCTGAAAAGATGATTGACATGAGACTGTTGTGGTAACTGCATAGTACACGCAAGCTTTCCTGGACCTCTGTGGGAGACCGTATTCTGTCAATTGCTTTGAGACACCAAAAAGCTTTATCGAGCGTTTCGCCGTCGTGATTGTGGATACGGCCTGTACCAACGGCCCATCAAATCTTTAATTTCCTTTACCCACGTCTCCATCTTATGCATTGCTTCACCCCTGGTAAGTCGGTGACCATCATCTCCATGCATCTCAATTCTGACTCCTTGAGCACCCAAAAGATGCCTCATGGCGAGACATCGGTGGTGATATCGCCGCCGTGGCTCATTGGGATCTCTTGCTGCTCGACAAATCCGGTACGACTCATTGTAAATGTTGTCGGTGACGAAAATAGAAAAGCAGGAGCTCATCGTCTCGAGAAGGGCTTCGATATCTTGTTCATACCACGAAGCTATTCCCTTCATCATCGTATCCGTGATTGTGATATGACTATCAATCATTCTCATGGCATAGCCCAAGTTCTCATAGAAAGAGCCCTCCTGCCTGACCGGAAACCAAGTCTCAAGACAGTCCTCTGTTATGTTGAATCCATCATGGCATGCCAAGAAACCCAAGGTTTCTGGTCCTCGGCGGTGGTTGCACAGAGCGCTCAAAATCATGTCAGGTGTGACTTGTTTTTCTGTCTCGATTTCGAACAGTCGACGCAGTATCTCAACGCTGGAGTTGTAATTCATGGCAGCCGCGCAAAAAGCCTCTTCAGGGATCTTGAGACCAGTATGTTTCGCAGAGAGGTAATCCACAATATCCGAGCCAAAGTATGTGATCCCAGCCGCCACAGCTAATGCATGTTCGGTGACTTTGACATCTGGGTTCGTCTCATGAAGGAGGCTTGGAACTTCTAGGGCACTACGTGACCTGGAACAGGCCTTTTCCACCATCTCCTCCGTTATGTGATGACCACCACGCCTATCAAGAAGGATCTTCAGCGCGTCCGTGCCAAAACCCCAGCTCCCGATAACAAGATTTATTAGTTGATCAGAGGGTACTAGTTGGGGCTGCCCATGCAAGATGAGTTTCACTGATTCTTCGCTGTTATGGGGTGACGATTCCACTACGCCCTGTAGCAGTTTTTCCGATGCTCCTAAATCTGGAAGCTTTTGTAAGACTGATCCAATTAATCGGGCGGGAACTTTTTTCAGAGACTTCAAAGTTTCTTCTCTGGTAATTGGCGCAGGCGTACAGGTGAGGAGAAACTCGACGACCTCCCAGCTTTGGGTTTCAATTGCACACTCGATAGGTAAACCGATCTTCAAGGCTTCACATTCGATTTCGGCGCCATGTTGAACAAGGACTTTGAACACTCCTAGTTCCCGATTCCATGATGCAGCTTGGAGAGCGGTGGCCATGTTGTTCCTATCCTTGCTGGATTTGACAGCATCGGCCGCTAGAACCTTCTCAACCACATGCGCAATTCCAAAGAATGAATGCAGCAGTACTCAGAACGTCGAAGCTTATGCCCTTCAAGTCTTTTGTGAACATTCTCCAATTATGACGTTGATTCACCCAGACAGTGACGACGGGCTGTGTGGTATCGCAGAGTAAATGAGCTTGGCCATACAATTCCTCCTTTTTACCATGATTTTGCAGCTCATAAAGTGAGGGCCAGTGAAGGGCGGCGTAGAAGAGGAAACCTCCTTGATGAAGATAACCGAGTTCGAGTTCTTCGGCTTTGTTGGTACATCCGTGTAACAGTTCCAAGATGGGTAGTGCTTTTAGGCAAGCAGAGAGCAATGTCGCCTGCGCATCAGAGCCGTTGAACCTCCCTTGCCAAGAGAAAGGCTTACGGCTAGGTCCAAGCAAGAACTGTCTGACAGTCTGGTGCAAGAACGACAGTTCCAGTCCAAACCTGCCTTTTGTCACTACTACCAGAAACCCCGTGCAGTTCTGTACGACACTCCGAAAGTTTTCGCGCTAACAATCATCGTGAAAGTCCTTTTTGGACTTCCACTGGGTTCTTGATGTGGAGAGAACAGTGAGAGCTCTGTCGGCCTCCCTCTGATTGAGGGGCCGAGGAGAGGCCAGCATGAGTTGGAAGAGCACTTTTGTCTTAGGCTCGTCGTAGAAGCGTCGAAGAACCTTTTCGTAGATATCTGAAGCTTCGGCAGGCAGATGTTCAAAAAGGCCAATTATGTCTGATTTCCTCATTTAGCCACCGGGTTCTTCTTGGGTCATCTGAAAAACGAGACGCAGCCACAGATAGGTGCGATTTTCCATGGCTTTCAGATATTCTCTAATGTCTTCTTTGTCGCTCTTGGGAAGAGGCCCAACGAGGTT